TTCGAGCGGTCATTAAAAGGGCATACTGATGCCGTACAGGACCTTGCATTTGATATTAGTGGAAAGTTATTAGGTAAGCTTTTATTAGACGGTTATTTGCACTTAATATTATTGTTCCTCTACACAAATAATGGGAACTGATAAAGCTCATTGATGTTCTCGAAAGTTTCTTATTTTCAAACAAATTTGATAATTCTTGAAAAGACTGATACCTCTGACAACAGGAATATATGCTAGTTTTTTGTTTTGGATTGCTTAACTCTGGTTCTGGCAAAATCATCCATTAATATAGAGATGTATCATGTTGATATAAAAATTTATCTTAATTTTTAAAACAGTTGTTTATGTATTGTGGTAATTAAGAACCGAATTATCATATTTTTGTTTTAGCATCATGTTCTGCTGACATGACAATCAAAATATGGGAATTTGTACAAACATTTGATTGTATGAAAACACTTAAAGGGCATGATCACAATATTTCATCAATCGCATTCCTGCCTTCTGGTATTTTTATTTGCTTGTAATTAACCTGAATTAAACTTTTCAATTTAAATATGATACAATTGTTGGTTTTAAGCTTCATCTTTGAACTGTTGCTTATTTGCAAGACTGGAAGAGAGATGCTCATTTTTCTCCACTTACATATAACTACTGTTCTTGGTATATGGATATCTTTTCCTTTCTTCTGTAATGGAATAAACAAAGAGAAAAAAGCCATAGTTATTGTTGTTAATCAAGTTTCAATTAAATCACAAAGCTATTGTTTGTTCATTAAATCATTTAATTTGTTGTTATTGCTTATCCCTAGTGGATTGGATTTAGAAAGATGTAAGATGTAAATGAGAGTAAAAATGAATTCTCTTGATAGAACAACATTCATTTAATTGCTTTTTTCTCTAGGTGATCACTTACTATCTGCTTCACGGGATCATTTGATAAAAATGTGGGAAGTAACAACGGGTTATTGCGTTCGAACATTTGCTGGCCATAATGAGTGGGTACGAATGGTACGTGTACATCACGACGGAAATATATTTGCATCCTGTAGTAATGACCAGGTAATTCGTTCATTCGTAAAATAGGGTTTTTTTACAGAGTCAGAATTAGTGCTCTTGCGTTCATTAAGAAAAACTTGGAAAAAAAAAAGGTAACTAGCTCTACTCTCTCTTTTTTAAGCAATTTTTTTTTTCTAGACAATTTGCGTATGGAATACATTATCAAAAGAATGCAAAATTCAATTTTGCGATCACGAACACGTTGTTGAATGTATTCAGTGGGCACCTGACAAGGCTCTCCGTTATGTTGTTGAAGCTGAACATGAAAATGCTTGTGAGTTTATATACTTTGCATGCATCTTTCCTTATCTTAATTTGTATGTGTTTTTTTTTAATTCCGAGTAGCTGAACTTGAAGTCTTAGTTCAAACTGTCACCATTTTATTGACAATATTGCGGAAATCCTACAATCTCTTCCAACTCAGCTCTATTTGTTAATTCATTCATCTTTCCGACCACTTTTTTTTTCACAATTTCTATAGCACAACGAGTCAGTGATATATGACTGTAAATGAAACTTATGTTTTCCGAAAATAAAACTATTTAAGCGCAAATGAATGGTGATGCAAAGAAAAGTGACAGTATAATTGCACCGAAAATAGGGCCGATTCTTGTTTCTGGTTCTCGTGATAAAACGATCAAGTTTTTTGATATTAATGCGGGATGTTGTTTGTTTACTCTGGTAAACTTTTATTCTATACCATAACAACACATCTTTCTGGAAATTTGAAAAGGCCTAGATTTATTATTGCATGTCGGCACGCTATTTAATCATTAAAATAATCAGTTTAACTAGTGGAGAATTAAGTAGCATCTAAATTTTGTTTCAAGGAAAGATTATATTGTCTTCATTATCTTACCATTTTGACAGAAGTCCAAAATAATCAAAACTACAAAATAAGTTGTGAACCGATGAAGCTTGGTTTTTTGTTTAATGAAATCAAAAGCTGTCGTGATTTTATTTCGAATTAAGCAGCTTTCTTATTATGGTGCTTATAAGTATTAAATTTATAGAATTGTGTCGTTTTCAGATTGGTCATGATAATTGGGTCCGTGGATTGCGATTTCACCCTGCTGGTAAATATCTGCTCTCAGTTGCTGATGATAAAACACTACGCGTATGGGCAATTGCGCAGAAACGTTGTGCCAAAACATTAGATGCTCATAAACATTTCGTCAGCTCACTTGGTTTGTATCATTTACATTTTATGTTATAGTTTTCTGAGATTTTGACGAATCCAGAAAATGGATCATTTCGCTAACTTTTGGTTTGTACTTTCCGCTTCAGCGGTGGAAGTGTAGTTTTCCCAGGCACTAAATTAAATTAGTTTTGTTTAGCTTATGCTTCCTTTATCTGCGTTATCTTTTATTTCATGTTATTCTGTTCGGCCGTGTTATTTTCGTCAGGTTTTACAAAGGTTTTTCAAAGATTATAGATCAGTACTGAGTAAAGAATACCCAGATTGTGTCGGTTATACAAATTCTTGTTTCAGATTTCCATCCATCTTTACCTTATGTTGTGACATCTAGCGTGGACATGACAATTAAAGTATGGGAGTGTCGTTGATGTAAAGGGATTTACGGATAGCAACTTTTCCATTCCTTGTGGCATCATGCGCAGCGCTTTGCTTTCTATTGCATTATTCCTTCTCTATTTGGATGATTATTTATAATATAATTTATTAGAGGATTTAGCTACTCTGAGTCTTATACCAATCAATTGAATTGTTGGGTTGTTTCTTATGAAGTTCAGGAATGTATAAAAAGCTATTAAAGAATCAGTTTAAATTTTGGTTGGTTTGGAAAGCTGTGTTACATTTCCTTCATTTATATTTAAGTCCTTCGCCAGAATATTTTGCATTTTCCTGTTTCGCGGTCATTGTTTTCTCCGTTCGTAGCAAAATGTTCAGAACTCCTAGATGCTCTAAAATCACTTAAATTATTTGTAAATGACAACTCCTGAAAAGCATTCATATTCCTTATAAAGAACAAGAATCAGCAATCAGACTACAATTTTTTGGCATATTCAGGATTTTAATTTGATTGGCCTGGAAACATTTTTATCCTGCATGGGCAGAAATTCCGCTATTTTTTTCATTTACCCATAAATATTACCTTCCTTTGTATATGATACTCCATTATGTGTCTCTTCTCTTTTATTTCACTATTTTTCTCCTTTCTAATTAGGTTTTTCAAGAATCTCATTACAGTTGGTGTGCTTCTTTTTGGTTGATTTTTCACATGCTTGCACGTTTTTGTGTAATCGAAAACTATATTTAATTTTTTAAATCTGATAATTTGATTCCTGTATATTTGTTCTTCGGTACTACTACTATCACTACACGAACCTTTGATATAATCTTAAATTATCATTAATTTACATTTTAATAAGCGTGATTCGGGTATATACATATTTTTAAAGGATCGTATTCAGAATTTCATGAAGAATTCTGGTAAAGAGTAATGAAATTGACAGAAGAGAATGCAAGTGTTCATACATATTTAAATAAATGACGAGAAATTTTCGATTGATGAGTTTCCTAAAACCTGCAAAAGGAGAAGATGCATGAAAGGTGAGTAAAGGAAAGGTGAGTAAGGGAACTTAACCTAGAAAATATCTGTGTAAAGCGCTTAAATACATATATTCGTTTGCTTGCGTTGCTTTCTATGTGTTTAAAAATTAAGGAATATTGTAATTGTATGGTTTATGGGATTGACACATTGATATTGTTTCTAGGATAACTATTGAAGATCTATTAGTTTATGTGGAAATATTCTGGATCCGGAAAAAAATTCTGCGAAAATTGGGATGGACGATATCTCATTGAATCCACTTCTTTTTTGAAACAATGTGTTAGAGTCAGTCCTGTCAATAATCTTTTGTGGTCGAAATGATAATTCAGATTTTTTGTGAAGACTGGATTTTTTTTGTCTCCTACGGTTGTTTCATGTATTAAAAAACTTGAAAACTTACCAGATAAAGTGTAAAAGCGAATGTTTTTAATCTTAGCAGCTGTTTCTTTGCAATATATTGATACGGAACAAGTTTCCAGGGATTTTACTGCTGAAGAAAGTTCAAGTGATTATGTGATAGTATTTTTGAAGGGATTGAATAGATTGAATTGACAAAATGTGTTAACATGATTGAGTGAGAATTGTTTTGGGGATGGATGATTAATGCTTCTTTTGTTATGTATGTTAGGTTAGGTATCACTATTCTCTAATAGTCAGGAATCCCACTTGAGAGGATCAATATTAGGTAGTAAGATCTGGTTTTCTAATTTCATGATATCAACACAGAACATTTCAAAAGTTACAAATGTTTCAGATTTAAGGAAGGTAAGACAGTGGTAAAGTTATGAGCTATGAATTTTGCAGCGCAATTGTTAAAGATGGATTCTGTGCTTTGCATAGTCACTCGCGTAAGTTCCTCCTAAAATACGATGGATGATTATAGAATTTGCAGAGCTAGGTCGATTTTCTTCTAAATCCGATGGATGCATTAGAATTATAGAAATGGTAAATTATTTAAGTGTATTAAGTAAAGCATAAAGAAGGAACTATGAAAGTACTAAACTAGTGTTGTACTTTTTTTTAAGTACCCAGGTTTTTTTTTTTTTTTTTTTTTTAAGATTTATCGCTGTATAGCAGTTCTATGTCATATCATTAACAAGTAGCCCTAGGTTTTATTACATAACCAGAGATATAAAATATCCATCTGATGTTTCAAACCGAAAATTTTAGCTTGCAATAAGTATTACTGTTTTTAATCCTTTCATTACGAACTATCTGTTTTTATTATTAGTATGCAGTCTTAAATCAAAATGAGAATCTAAGAATAATTAGTGAGATAATTTCTCTTAATCATCTACTACTAATGCTATATTATGATACATCAGTTTATTTTCAGCATAAGACCGAACTATCCAAAAACACACTAGATATGTTGCTAGGAAAGGTATTAAAACACACCTATATTGGTAATGATAAAATTCCATGTGTCCAGGTAAAGTGAGATCCTTCATTTGAAATTAGTTTGACAAATGTATTGTGATTCTTAATCCTCATCACAGAATTAGCTATCATAAGTTAATGATCTTTTAATGAAAACTGTTATATTCATGAAATGATATATCCACTATGAAAAATAATGTAGTTGTTATGTCTTTTATAGGTTCGATGTCGATTGAACGACTTCGATGAATATATTAAGAAATATTTCTCACGACCTATTGATCTATGGGCATTAGATCCAAAAAATACAACAGGTAATTTGTTCGTGACTTGAATTACAGCAAAAAATTTTTATGATTTACTGAACAGGGAAAATTTATGTTACTTTTTCTGAATGTTTTGCTAGAAATTTAGATTTACATTTGCATGGAGATTACTTTTTTTAATCATCTCCCTTCATCGAATATGAGTTTTGCAAAAAGGGTAGGGATTTTGATCTGATTGTTATTCAGAATTTTAAAACTTCATGCATCAAACTGCGCTGATTTTTATCTTGAGAAGTATTGATCACGTTGATTCGGTGAACATTAAAAGTGCTAGCATCGGATTTTGATAAAATTATGATTAGGATGGAACAAGTAACTGATGGATTTTCAGGATTGGGCGATACTATCTTAATCACAAAATGTGATGTAGATAAACGACCAGCCAAATTAGTGACACATATTGTTGATCGAGTTATGTTTAAGTATGGTAATATTATCGATCCGATCACTAAAAAACGAATAATTAAGGAGAGATATGAGGACGACATCAACTTAGAGACAAAACTAGTGAAGGAAATTATCGAAGAGCCATCTTCATATGTATGAATTCTTTCCTGGATTATTTTATGCAACTTCGAATTAGAATGTGTTTAAAATGGACCATTTAATTTATCCAAGAAAAACTGACAATTTACTTCAATAGTCTGTTAAAGGGCGATAATAGAACAAATACCCTGAAACTCCAAGAATGAATTACCAAACCAACTAAAGTATTTTTGAATATCTGTTTGAGGGTCAATAATAACGCAAGTCTAAAGAAGATGCACAGTGAACGAATAGTTAACATTGAAATATTGAATCTGTCTAGTTGATAACATAACTAACATTTTTTTGCGCGTTTTATATTCTCTTATGTACTTATCAATTTATTTTAATGCTATAGTTAGCTATAAGTAAAACCTTCAATTATTTTCTTCAATTCGAGGAACAGAATGAATTTTTTTGCTTTAGGATGTATTGTTATTCGAAGAAAAACGGGACATACAGTGGCGGAGGTTAAACACCCGTAAAGTGGCTATAAGTCAACGTGAGTTTTCGAAACGGGGACGTTTACTGGCAAGACAAACGGTCAAAGATGTTAATAAAGAAAAGGAAGAAACAGTGGAGGAGGATAAAGGACAGGATAATTAACGATGTCAACGGAATAATTAACGATCAATAATTAACGACAAAGTAAATTAAATCTTTTTAGGTTGATTTTAAGTGAATTTAAATTTCATATTAACCCTCTCAGTTATTGAAGCATTAGAGCTTTGTGGCGTTTTCATATTTTTTTAAGCAATTGTTTCTATATAGTGACAGTATGTTGCATAACATTTCTCCTAAGACATAACATATCTGACCAAAATCTTTTTCTTGTTCACCAATGTAAAAATTTGTTGTAATCTGTTACATTTTCTTCAGTTGTTTGTATATTTGTTGGTTTTTCGCTAATTTATTCCAACCTTCATATGTGTCAGCAATTACTTACTAAATTTTAAGTTTTCGGAAAATAAATTTTGATATAACTGCGTTATGAATTTTGTTATTCATTCGTAAAAGTCTTACGAGTACTTGAGAATTTGTTCACTAAATCATACTGCCAGAACAGGTCGTTCTGCGATTCAAGGACTTTCATAATTGCTGAGGTAATTGCCAGTAAAAAGCAAAAAAATGTTGTGACGCGAGCAGAAGTATTAGCATTCACTGTTAAGCACTTAATTAGGTATAAATGATTGAATATCATTTCAGTAATGGAGGAAAGTGAGGGAGATGACCACTGTCCACGACCACGTGGTGTTAATGTAACACATTTGGTGAAAGAGCGGGTAAGGCAAATTGCGGAGTTAATCCAGGTTGGTTTTTGGAAATTTTTCACAAAAAAAAATTGTAAGGCATTAATACTCATATTAGGTTGTATAAATTGCTTGATAGTGATTATTAATTTTTACATGGGAGAATGAACTTGTGCTTTCCAAGGCCATCGATAATCGCGTATTAATATCGGGAGAGGTTACCAAGGGACCTCGTACAGCAGTACAGCGTCTGCCACGTCATATGCGTCGTCGTGCAATGTCCTATAATATCAAACGCTTCCCACGTATGCAACGTCGTTTTGCAATTTCAGCAGTTGCAGCTTCGAAACATCGTCAAAAACCACCTAGTCGTTTTTGGAGAAGACGGCCAAGAAACCTACTTCTGGTGATTTTTCTATAAGTACTTAAATTGTGGGGACCATTAAAAGGATACCGAATATAACTTGCTAGGTGGATTTATTCTGCGCACAAGTTTATTGGCTGTTGTTTTCGGGCAGTGTTGAGTATTAACTTCAATTTTTGCTTTAACACTGATATGAGCTTACATATGTTCAATGACCAACATATCTTCATGAATCAATGCACATTTATATATATTGGTAATACTGGTGGTCTTCTATTCGATAATCGCAGCTCGCTTTAATTTGTGAATTTCTGGTTTACTCACAATTTTTCTATAGCTACAAATTATAGAATTATATCAGACGCCAACGAAAGCATATATGGCTTGAAACACATATATGGCATGCAAAACGTTTCCGAATGATCCAAAAATGGGGATACAACTTGCCCTTCTGCAGCTATCTGCGATCTTTTCGACCGTCACATCGTGATGCAATGCGTCATTGTGTTATTCGAGACGTTAGCTTCTTGTGTTGTTTTCAGGTAAATTCGAAATTTTTATCATTTTTCTTTAAGAAGGTGGATAATTGCTATCGGTTGTGATGGTATAAATATTCTGACCAAAACAAATCAAAATTCAATGTCGCATGTCTGTTGATGGTGTAGCCATAAGTTTTGTTACTAGCTCTCCAAGCTGACTCACAGCAGTACCCAATTTTTGTGTTTCATTAATGAAGAAGTCTTTTCTGCTTGTTTTTATCTAAATGATTGAATATAACGAATTTGAAGTGTATTCAGAATATTCAGTAGTTATAATAATCAAGAATCAATAATTCAATAATATTTAAATAGACCATTAGATCGGATAATTAACGCAGTATATGTTATTTAAAATATCTCTGGTATCTCTGGTAAAAATCTTTGGTAATTCAGTAGTTATAATAATGCAAGCAGTAAATTTATAACCTTATTTGGCTTACAGTTGTTCTACAATATTTTTCAATTTTTTAGATAATTGGAACTAGCCAAGCATCAATAATTAAGCTGTTGTGTAACATTTGTGCACCTGAAGTTGGCTCAACATTTGCATCCAAAATTGCTTTAGATGGCCGTTTTGAGATGCCAGTTATGTTATATGAACCAGGACACTATCCGCGTGGTTTTATTGCACCTGCTAGATTTTTATGGAGTAAGAACAAGTAAGTTTTTATTCTTTTTTTACATATTATATTTAATCAAATTTTTCTTTTGAGAGTTACTTCATCTGTTAGAATTCTCCAGTGCTGGGCTACTCCATAGCTCGCAGATCTTTTCATTTCTCACTGATTTGTTGCTAAAAAATAACTCATCGATTGTTTTCTAAAGTCAGTTATTAAGTCAATTGTTATATCCTTCGTTAAGGTTTCTATAAGAATTGAAAAGGTTTAGGTGACAGGATAGAAAGAAGCGGTTCATTTGGGAAAAATCATTTTTTTTTCTTTTTAAATGTTTGAATTAGTATTAGTATAACTTAAAATTTGTTTTTTTCATCCATTAAATTTTAAAGTGATATTTTCTCAATATTGAATTTGGAAGAAATTCAAGTTCCTTGGAAGACAACAATCATATCTTTTCAGGACTGATGAAAAATACACATTAGCTGTCTGGACACATCCATCTACCAGTAAAAATGTATTATCAAAATTCACCAATCTGCTAAAATTGAAAAAGAATGATCAAGTAATGGATCTTACAGAAATAGACAAAATACCACGTAGCATCGATGAATGGAGATTACGTAATTTGCAAATGAAAACAGATGTCTACGTAAATGATAAGGGCTTAAAGGTACAGTGTTTTGGGATTGCCGCTTAATAACAATTTCTTCTTTCATTAGTAGTAAACTGATTGTAGCCAAATGTTAGACTTAAAAGTGAGGGATTGAAAATTTGTAGAGATTTGTTAGGGAAGTTTTCTTGGTCAAATGTGTTATGTGAAGGAGCCTGTTGTAAAATATTTTATCGCTAACAACAACATATTGAGCTAGATATTGATAATTTCATAGAGATGCCATCCACGAGCATGGGATAAAGCAGAAGAAATAAGCGAATGCAAGATATTATTAAAGGATTCAAATGAAGGGAGATGTATGAATGTGCTAAGCACACTGCTAATACTAGAAAAATGACTCAGGCAGTTGGTTTAACTCCTTATATAGTGGGCAATAATTTGCAACAAAGTCATGATTACAGCTTGTAAGGAGCTGCTACTATCGGGCATAGTTGGTTTTTTAACATTATGTCAGTTACTTATAAAAATGATTGTTAGACTGAAAGATTTATACAGTATTTCGACATTGCAAGTAGGTTTGGTTTAGAAAGAGCTGATAGCTTTTAACAATCGAATATAAACTTGTAGATTGAAAGATCTTAAGAGTAAAGGTAAAACTGGGAACAATTTTTAACACATTAGGCGATCCACATATTCGTTAATAAAGTATAACATTCTAGACAATGCAGACAAGCTTAGCTACAATTGGAATATAACATAAACGATTGCTTACATAAGATATAAATTGGAACAGTTCTGTATTTGTCTAAGGAATATTCAAATAAGGCAGTTTGGAATCTTGTGGATTCAATGCATATTTCTTTTGAATATTATAGTATAGTTTTTCTGGTATGGAGATTATGGCGTATTTTCATTTTCTTTAAAACTTTTTTTTAATCACAATCAACCTCTAGCTTCCTAAGATTTGTTAATATAATTTGGTTGTGTAATCATGAAATTCACTTATGTAATTTAAATTTTGTTGATTATGCTAGGAAGACATACTGAATTATTTTTCAGCTATTGGATTTAAGCGATCAGATGGTTCGGTTCAGATTATATGGTCCCAAATCATTTGAAATATTGCGTGAAGTTCTTGCTGTTGTCGACGAAAATGAGCTTAAGGATTCATGGATGAAAGAATTCATGTTAGTCTTTGCATTCTTTGTAGGTAATGAAAGTGGGAATTAATGTGAGTGTATGAAATTCTGCTGAATATAATTTTTCTTCGGACAATTCTAATGCCTTTAGACTTCCGTTGCAGTCTTTGAAAAATGATGAAAAAATTCTAAATGATCAGGATATTAGAGGGTTATTTATATATGAGCCATTTAATGTTCAAAAAAAAAATATATATATATATATATATAACAAAGAGTGGGAAACGCAAACTTCTATTAGTTTTAGGTTAAATAACCAGTGTTGGAGAAATGAATGCAGCAGGCATAGTCCCGGTGAATTTCCTGATGGTACCGTTTTCAGTTTGCTTGTGGAAGATCCTAGATTAAGTCGACCGTTGAGAAAGATAAAGCCAGCTGGAACTAATGGTTGTTCAGCAAAATCATTAAATGTTGGCAGTTTACCAATTCCACTGAATAACTTTTGGAATTATGAAATTCGAAGAAAGGTTTGAATTTGATATTGGCTTTCTGTTAAGACTGTGCTGCTAAATGGAAACGAAGGATTATAGTTGGATTAAAATGTTTAATTTTTACTAATATAAGTAGAAAATCTAAGCAGTTATGGGTTAAGATTTGAAGCTACCACTGACGTTTCATATGGTATATATTTAGGCATTGTTCGGTTTGCAGGTGCATTACCGTATAACATTGTCCGGATTGCCGCATTTTATTCCAGGCCCTTGAAAAGAAACTGACGGAAACGGATTTGCAAAAAAAGCGAAATACGCAACTGCAGCCAGTAAAAACATCTGAAGCCAAGGTTTTGTTTGCAGTTTTTGTAAATATATAATGTTTTAGTTGAGATTTTTTTGCTAATTTCTTTCTGTTTGTTATATTTGTCGCATAACTAGCATTTTTCGGTTGAATTTAGATTTTGCACTAACAAATATAAAAGTTAAACATAATTAATGAGGCATATTATTCCACACTTGAGCTATTACTCTCCAGTTTTCCTATTGTTAGGTTCTAAACATCACAATACTTAAAAAGTAAAGGCAGCCACTCTTAATCCTTCGTTACCCCTCCTAATTTCTATATGCTTTTTGCCTCGCCTTAATTATTATTTTTGTTTTAGATACCAATACTCTTAATAGTTCGGAATACGGGTACAGGAACAACAAATCCATTCACTGGTTTAGATCTCATAACACCATCAGGATTTGGTAAATTTCTTATTTTTATTATTTTCTTTGCTTCATTATCTTTATTGAAAATTTTGAATTGTATTCAAGTGACTTTTTGCATTTTTCTCTTTCACTTTCTTATATTTTTTGAAAGGCTTGGAATTTTGGCTTGCAATGCAGTATGGTACTGCGAGAAGTATTGGACTGAAGGATCAAAAATTTCTGGAATTAGAATCGGGCCGTTTTAATTTTCCTGCTGATGTGCCTGATTGTGATGCGGGTCTTAATGAATTCAAGGAAGAGTACATTAATCTGCAGGTATTCTGATGTTGGAAAAACATCGCAAAAGCATTTATATTGTTTTCTAAATGATTATTTCATTTATGTTGTTAATTATTTCCAAAAAACAAGCGCATAGAGAGACTAAATTGTAATTTTTTTAATAATTAAATAGAAAAATTGTCAGTCCTTAGCAGTTTTTGATCTCATGAAAAGGACATCCTGATGTCCTTTCTAATATTACAGTTGCATGATATCGCGGAAAATAATGTATTGATTCATAAAATAGTTCTTTGTATTATAAGAATGTTTTATTTGCAGGAGAAGTACATACGACGGCCACATAATCGCAGAGTGAACTATTGGAGCAGCTTATCAATCAAATATCCTTTTACATTTCAGTTCTCTGAACTATCTCATGATTGGCTCGAGAATTCGGGCTTTCAAGGTAGTCCATATGTTATACGTGATCGTCGAACGCTGTTGACTATTGAGAAATGGTTGGCTGGGAGAGGACCAATGCCAGAAGGTTATTCTTTGATGATTTCTTTATTTAAATTTACAATCGAAATTAATTCTTTAAGTGGTATTTTGGAAATTGATTTTTAAAACTAATTTACGAGGAAAGTCTAGACTTATCGAATATAAAATATCATTTAAACTTTACAATTTCAGAATCTGTTATGAATTCTGCAGCATTAGTACCCGTATGTCTTATATCAACAACATTAGGTCGTCCACAGCGATTTTCATTGATATGTGCGCCAATTGATGAAGATTTTATGGTTTTAGCGTCAAAAGGCAAAAATACTATGCAAATCATCGAAAAACCACAGAAAAACACTTTAAAATCAGTATTTGATAACGAGGAAGATAAAAAATACCAAGAGGATAAGGTAATTAATGGTTTAATTATTAAATTGAAAAAAAGCGCAAGTGATATAAGTTTCAAACCTGCATAAGGTTATTTGATGGCTTAAACAATCAAATGCATTTTTACATTTGTTTATTTTAGAATGGACTAGAGGATTTTATTTCATTGGATATTACAGCAAATGAAAAGCACATATCGTTGAATTCACTTTTTCCTGATAAAGAGATGTTACGGTAAGCGAGCAAAAAGCAATCCGATGTCAATATATTAAACTTTTAATTTTTTTACAAAAATTTTTATTGTTTCTCTTTTTATTGGCCTGTTTGTGATCCGGTAATTACAAAACGTCAGGCTCTTTTTTTTTCATAAGTTTCACTATAACTCATCTTTTAAAATTTGTCCCGAAATAGATCGGATGATGAAACTTTGTATTCAGATTTAATATTTACTCTTCCTGAATCGTCATTTTATCATTGGAAATAAAACTATGAAAAATAAATTGTTTGCAACTAAATATTACAGGAAACGAAAAGTGAAGCAAAAGAAGAAGGAGAAGAGAGAAAAAGCGAAAAAAGCTAAACGATTGAAAAAAAATTTGGAGAGTAATACGTTGAATTCTACTTCTGAACTGCTGGCAAATGATGCAAAAGAATTGGAAAAGAAAGTAGAACCCATAAAATACAGTAGTAGCTGCTCTAGGTAAGCAATTGCAATATTAGAAAGATATTCAAGTCCAAATTTAGTTAATCCACTTTGGGACTATTATTTAAGCCGAGTTGTCTTATAGTTCAGATTCTGTTATCGTTAATTTCTTCCTTGTAATTTCAAAGTTATCTGTTAATCTGATTTTGCATTGGAGCTAAGTAGTATTATCTAAAGTGTATTTCCGTTTGTAATACATTGGGATATGAACATTTTTTTTTTTTTCTGCACGTAAAAAGAAATCGACAACTAAATGTGACAGGAAATAAATTCTAAATTTACAGGCCTATCATTGGCAGGATTGTACGCGGTGATTATTCATTCGTACATGGAAGAGGCTTTGCTATTGGGTACTGTTGTTTGCCGGCTTTAAAACGATTTTATCATGGTGTTGTACTGTTCCGAAATGTTACATCCAAATACTATCATCCGGCTCGAATTACCGTTCTTAAAACCCAACTAGATTTGTAATTTATTGTGCTAAGAAATTTGCTGCTTTAATTAAAGATTTGCTTCACAGAGCGTGTATTTTATTGTTTTCTAAACAAATTTAAAAAGAAACAGAATTTTAAACACTACATTTGATTCTGAAAAAGGTAAAATGAAACAAAAGAAAACTTTCATACTTGTAAGTTCGGGTAACTATTATACCAAATTCTTCAGACAGAAACTCGAGAAATTGTTGTACATTGGCACTGTTTTTCTTTTTTCATTTTTTTTTGTTATCATAATTATTTAATGAGGAAAAATAAGAAACGTACATTTGTAATAATGGTCTGACATTTCAATTATTTAAATCATACTTGAATGATATATGTATGCGAGTATGTGGACGTGGATTTTAGAAAGGAAAAGCAAAAACAGCAAATCAGTATAAAACTGTGAATTTAATATAATTTACTGCATTAGATTAAAAAAATCCAAGTGGAACCATTACTCTTAAGTTATGGGATGGTCAAGGTTGGTGTTTATTTGTTTTCTATTACATTAGTGAAACATTATTCTGGAGCATAGGAGAATTCATCTTAAACCTCTGAATCACTGAGTTTGGTCAAATAATTTCTGGTCGGTGACAGTATCCCTGTTTGACTATATCTCAGAAATTATTCCAAAAATCGCCCTGACGACTATCACTCTGTTTTATTACTGAATTATTTGCAAATAGTTCCCGCAAAATAATTAAAGTGCTAAACTAATTAGTATCAGTTTTATTAATTAGTATGCCTTGTAAAGGTTAACATTTATGAAATTAATTTGCAAAAAGAATTCAACGAATGGCTGTTCGCATATAGTACAACCTTCCATCTCACTTCACTTCACTCTAACTCACTGCACTGTCACATTGTCACCACTCCAAGTACCACTTCTCTTCCCGATCCCGCATATGCACTGCTCATCAACCGATCATCAGACCATCAATCTACGTCCTCTCCTCTCGAAATGCACGTCAATGATCCACGGTTCGGCCTTACGCAATAAATATCACTTACTTAACGTATGACATCGTAAAGCATTGGCGTAATTTTCTACGTAAACTAGAAATAGAAATATCTGGTGACATTTACGTGTTATCAAGATTGTATGATTAGTATTTTAGGTAATGTGGTGGTTCTCGGTGAAATATCCATGGAGTACACTACTTATATTTTATGTGATTATGCATGCTATATATGTTAATGGAAAATTAAAAGGTCGTATATGTGCGTATGGTGACATTGATCGTGACTTATATACCGATATCATTGTTCAGGATCATGATCGATTAAAGATTTATTTCCAGGTTTGATTTCATTTCTCTGTCTGAACATTGAATTTTTAATTTATTGTTAATCAACTAGTATTTTACCTTTATTTCATACTACTTCATTTTATTATTTCACCTCAGTTCACCTTTAATTTTACCTTCAGTTCACGTTATCTAATTTTGCTTCTACTTCAGCTTATCTAATTTTTACTTCACACTGTTCTACTACTTCATTGCTATACTTCCATTTTAATTTTACTCCAATTTTATTATATTTTCAACTCACCCTAATCCTACTACACTTTGTTTTGCTTTGCCTTATTTCTTATGGTTGTCAGTGATTACTATCAAGCATTTTAATTTAATTAATGTCTAATCAGTCATCACTGTTTCGAATTGAAAATCAGTTATCTTTTAATAACAAATTATTTTTTAAATGCTGGACTCTTTTTTAACACAACAGTAATTTCTCTATCGTACTAGCGCTAGAAAAGTGAAATATGTATAATCTTTCTCGCTTCACTAGCTTTAGTAAATGCTTACTTTTCACATTTGGTCATTTGGCTACTTTTTATGGTAATTTTTTTTTCTCTCTTTATAATACAATGATGCTTATGAAATTCCACTTGTTTTAGAATGAAAATGGCGAATTTTTCGAGGCAGGACAAAATATTAACCTTGGTTCATCACACACTGTTTCATGTGCAGTTGGCGATTTCAATGGTGATTCAGTGCCTGACATACTGGTTTCGAGGAAGAATGTTCGTTATAATTAGAGAATGAAATTTTAGATAGATGCAATAAGTGTATGAAATGCCATTTTGCATGAATTTAGTCATTTGTTTCTTTCCATTTATTTTCTCAGTTCATAGTTTTTATGATTCTGATTTTACTTATTGAAAAATCGAAAATTTTGCAGTATTTTGTAGATCTTTAAGTCTTATTTGGAGAAATGTGAAAATGGAAAAAGAGTTGATGTTTATTGATAGAAACGATATTTAATTTTCATTGTCTAGTCTCACGTTGGTTATATTTTGATGAGTTCTGAAGTTTGGTTATATTGAACGACTAGAAAATCATTCTTTTTTCAGTCCAGTGGCCAGAAAGGTTATGAATCGACTGTGTATATATTTTCATATAATACTTACAAACCAGTTCATTTAAACGCAACGTTGCTGGATGAACTATCGGTGATGGATGTTAACGGTGATGGTATCAGTGATGTTGTGGGATTTTTGAATAACAGTTCCTTATTTTGTCAGCTGGGTTCAGCAAGCGAGAATTTTTCATCCTGTGAACATTTTTTCAAGTAAGTTATTTGTCTGGTTTAGAGTATTTCTTTTTTCTGTCACTTATAGTATGAAACTTGATATCTACTTTACTAGTAATATGTGAAGACTTATGTCTACATGTTCTTTTGTACGGTATTTTTTTGCTTTTCAATCGAGATTTATTGCAGTGCATCTGGTAAAATGCCCAATATTGTCCCATATGAACACTTTTTGCATTCCTTTGTCGATATAAATGGTGATTTAAGTGCTGAAATAATATTTGGTACCGAAATTAACAATCGTTTAAAAATGCAAGCATGGAAAAGAATATCAAAGTATGGTTTCGAACTCAAAATATTGATTTTATTTAATTTGTTGTTGGAATTTTAAAGAATAAAGTACTGACGTAGTTAATAATAAAATCAGCTTTACTCCTTTGCTAAATCTAGGTTTGTTTTTAACTGGCACAATTGACAGGTTAGGTCTTTTCAATTCTAGGAAGATGTTTTACTTTTTTATTTATTTATTTTTGTTCTTGTTATTTATGATAAAAAAAGTAATCTTTATATAATTCTTATACAACAAAAATTAATTCTATGAGATGTGTTTGACACCATGTATTCGCATGCAGTATTCTGAGAGTTGTTGCTCTATCTTTTACAAATTGCGTTTCGGTAAACTTTTAAGTTACTGTTATAATCTGAGTTTTTTCCAACTTTTTAATTAGAAGCTTGTTTATCGTGAATATTTTATTGTTTTGTGATGAATGTTGTATTTAACTCTTTTTGAATCATTTTTTTTTAAATCTCATACTTGGTTTAGTGAAATGTGGGAGTTAGATCACGCGCTTATTGCTGATTTACCAAACGGTTCATGTCCTACAAATTACTTTGGTGCTGTATTATTTGCGGATTTTGATGCCGATGGACTCGTAGATATTGGTTTACCATGTTGTGCTGATGTAACGTGTCGAAAAGTAGTAGTAATCAATATGTGGAACCACTATATCGGTGCATGGCAAGATTTCCACATTACTGGTCTTGAGGTGAAGTAACATTTTTTTGTTACTTTGTTCAATACATTTTTCTATAAAAATACTGGCACTCTGAGAGGAAGTGTTTCTTATTTTTTGCTTATAACTTTGTTGCTAGATGTCACTCTTTCTTGTCCTCACTGAATTGTTTTTTTTTTTTAAACTGTCGTTATATGCAGGATGAAACAATATTGGTGTCTTAAATTTTTAAACTTTTGAGTTTACTGTATTGTTCCAAAGCATTGAGAATTTTCCTTCATAGTTATAAATATGGATACAAAGAGAACACCTGAAACAGAAGTTATTATGGCCTATGTTTCTAGGGTTCCGATTTGGTATCCAAAAGAGATGAAGGAAATGTTGTTTTTCGTGTTGGAGATTTTTCACTGGATGGATATCCTGATTTAATAGCACTTGTGACAAGTTGCAAAGATAATTTAGTTTACTGTATTTCAAATCCAATGATTTTGGAAAATGTGCCATGTACTGATTGTATTTCCAATGCTTCCAGGTATATTTATGAAAATTTATCACCTAACACAGCTTCATGAAATTCCATGCTAATTATATTTTCAAATTCATTGTCTGCATTTTCTGGAAAAGAATTGAAAATGCGTGGATGATGGGGAAAGTATTTTAAGACATTCAGGTATCTCTTGTTTTGGTACTTATTTCATTTTTTTCAGAAGATTTGAATTGAGAACAAGTCCCAGGCTTATTCAGCCTGCTGATGTTTCGTTAGGTCAGATTCAGCTAGCGTCTTTTTTTGATTTGAAAGAGGATGGAACTCTCGATGTGTTACTTGAATATAAAGATGCTGATCAAAGTATGGCTGTTGATTTTATTAGATGTGAAGATAAAGGTGATACGACATTCCTGAAAGTGCAAGTATTTTCAAGCTCATGTGATCAATTCTGTGGTTCTTCAAAAACAAAAATAGGTATTTAATCATAACTTTAAATCAAGAACTTCTTAATCAGAATATAATAAACCAGCTTTGTTTTTCTGTTTCAACTTATGAAACTGTATTCTTGCTGAATTCCAAATAAACATGGATTATGGTAATGACGATGATAATAATAATGATAGATGATGCTTATCCTGAACTTTCTTTCTTTCTGGAACTGGAATTGCCTGGCATGGTGCTTGTGTAATGTTCAGTATGTCCGATTCATGGGGTCACGATCAAGTCGGCTCACAGTGTCAGATGCCGCAGACAACACATCGAGCACTTCATACACCATTTGCTTTATTCGGTTTGGGAAGATCACCAAACTTTGTTGATTACGGTAAATTTATTTATTGAAATTACTTTTTGATTTTTGTTTCATGAGAAGGTGGTTATAAATGCTTTGTTCTGGGGGTGGATATTAAATAATATTTACAATTGTAAGCTAGGTTTGCCGATTGTAGGAAATTTTAAAAACTTGAAATTGTACTTTTGATAGTAATTTTTTGCAGAATTCCACAGTGATTTGCATTACAACTAGTAGTTTTATGTCTCGAACTATTGGATAATTTATTTTTAACTTCAAACTTATAGATTTTGTCCTTTCATTTTGCAACTGTGCGAAAGATATGAAGTTAATGCAAAGTTTTGCAGTGCACATTGGCTCTCCACGTGTGCCTTTGGCAGGTAGTCTGCATTACGGAAATCAGCATTATTACTTAAAGCAAATTGTACCGAATTCAAGACTAATTGTTGTTCCACCTAAGGGTGATGGTGTTCATTGGCAGAGTAGGCTTTATCTTACTCCTAGTCAGGTTCGTTTTTCCGATGAAAAATCTACATTTTAGAAATTTAGTAATAATTTAGTAATTTTAGAAATTTAGTTAATTAAAATTGATTAATACTAAAAGTTTTAGTATTAATCAATTTTAACTGTAGAAATTTATTCTAGAAAGTCGGATATTACTTTCTGAAGTCTTCTAGGCAGGCTTTATTCTTAAATGATTTAAAGTCAATTTTTTTTTTTTTACTTTTTATACGTGACTTTATTCTTTTTTTTAAAAAAATAATTGTGTCGCTTAGAGGGTAAAATTTACTGGAACAATAAAATTTATCTTTATTCCATTTTCATTATCAAGGATAATTTTCTCTTTAATAACAGTTGGAAAAAAAAATTTGTTCTTGCTTTTTGGTACTTCAGTATCATCTCTACCTAACTTTGTAATAACGAATTTCAATAGCAAAAATATGAGTTTGTCGACTTTTTTTTTTTTTTTTAATATTCATTTCTTTTATTCTTCTCTCTCACTTCTCGACTTCAACAAGCATATAAAGAAGTTGTAAAAATTAATTAATTTCAGTTGATAAAGCAGTCACTGATGGTATTAGTATCAGTCTGTATGATACTGTTATTGGTGGTTGTATTTTTGCATTATCGTGAAAGGCGTGCTGACAAACACGAACGACAGGCACAGTCACATCGATTCCATTTTGATGCCATGTAATTTTAATTTGGAACAATTGTAAGAGAGCTTTCATAAAATCCTTTTCAATAATTGAAGATTTTATTGTATATGTCTTAAAGTATAAGGATAGTGTCCAACGAAAGCTGAATGAGCTTTCATTGTGATGAAGGAATAGCATATGGTTATCTGATATCAAATCTTGAATGGAACATTCTCTAGAGCTTTAACCATCATGACTATCAATGTATAAGTCGTGTATCCAAATGCGCTAAACATTGATAGCTTGAAAATGATGGCTGATAATTGGTCCTTTTCAGTTAGAAAATTTTTTTTTCTTCTCTATTCTTATCTGATTCTGTATTGTGCATCCTCTACCGCCATCACTGTAGAAATACGATGCTGAATAGTGGCATTGTTTGAGATGTTGATGTGATTTCACTAATACTATATCGCGATTGTATCTCAATTATGCTTCCATTTCTTTAAAATATATTTAAAAGATTTTCTGTAATTTTCAAGGGATAGATATTTTGAGTTTACATATTGAAAGGCGTTTCCGTGCAATACTCTAATGGATGTGCATGCTTGTATAGTATTGTATAGTATTCTTACCATTATTTTATTATCAAAACGGTGATAATGTTGTTTGTGTAAACTGAAAATAATCAACTTTGCTTAATATTTGTGATCGAAGCTATGATGTTTCAAGCTCAATCCATCAAAGTAATATTTCGTGATTTCTAACTGTACATATCAGCTTTTTGATTAGAAAAAGGTTGTACTGTTTTTTTCTTTTTTTTTAATTAAACATTTTAGCCTTTTTCTAAATCAAACATTTATTTTTTTAATCAAACATTTTTTTAGTTAAAATTTATTGCGTTTTAGGTGATAATTTTTTTTTTACTTTGATTGCACACCGTTAACTGTAGTACCCACAACTTGTAACCATTTTGATAACAAAAAGCTCTAATAATTATTGGCCATTTTGTTTTTCGTATCAAGAAGGATCAATCATTACCGGGGGAAGAAAGATCATATATTATTCGGCAATTTGTTCCGATCGTTGAGCAATCACTTTAGTTGATATTCTTTTTTTTTTTCTTGGTTGTATTTGATAAGTAGCTATGATTTTATCTTCTCTATTCCTCTTTAATTTGATATTTGCAGTAAATTTCTGTTCTTTATTTTTTTAATGTGTTATCAGCAATTTTCATTTCGATTAAGAGAAAAAGCATATAATAGAAACAATAAAAGATTAATATCACATCCCAGATGTTTTCTTCATTTATCGTCTAACTGCTACAGGTATTTTCAGCAGGAAAGAAAAATAATATCAGAAAGTATAAAAAAAGAATTTCTGATTTTACAAAATTCAGTCGTCCTATTGATTGGTCTACATAATTATCAATGTGATTTAATCGTAATGAATTTTCTTTTCCTTGATATCTCGTTAGAACGAATAAGCACTGAGAATCCGCACAAATATGATCGGTTATATGTGATATAGACGAAGTGTAAAGGAGTGAATAAAACGAACTGTTAGGTGGCTGATCTAATATGAAAATGCAATGTACACAGTGTATCATCGATTAGTTTATGACTGTGAGATGATGTATGCAGAGTTTGGGATGTTATGTTGTCATTAATATACATAAGGAAGGGAATGAAATGTGACATTCATTACTTTAGTTTAGTTTCATGGTGTACTATTCATTTTCCTTTCTTTTTCATTTTTAATATCGTAAATTTCTAGATTTTTCACGTCGATTTTTGCATTCATAAATGGTAGAGAATAAATTGAGAATAAAAACGTAATAAATAAATTGAGAATAAGAACGTAATAAATAAATAAATTGAGAATAAAGAGAATAAAAACGAATAATTATTCGTTGTAATTATTCATTGCTTTTTCGAATTAGTGGATTTATGTTAATTAGTTTCATTGATGGCTGTGATTTGTTTATCATATCGATTAATCTCTTTTTTCATACAGTAATATGTTCTTGTGTTTTGGTTTTTTCCGATGATTCCAAGAAATGTGATAAAATAGAGCATTTGTAATACTGTTAACATTTAGTTTTTTTGATTACTAACATATCGAAACAAATAACTACTTTGTATCATTTAATCATTGAGTTAGATAATCAATCATTAGTGATACATAGCAGCATGCAATACTTCTATCTGAGAGAGGCAGTTTAATGAATGAATGAATGAATTTATATTGGATGAATGTTCCAGTTCGTAGTGATATTTGTTAAGATATGTTTTCATAGCAAGGATATAATGCAGATATGGAAGTTGGTAGTTGTGTGATTTGTACACAAAATCTATGCCTTAGCAATGTTTCGTCTCTACCGTGTGGACACACATTCCATTATAACTGTATCCGGCGTTGGCTTGCGGTAAGATTTCTTTTTTCTCTTTTTTTTTGAATATTTTTATCTACTGAAGTAAATAGTTCACGATATCGATGATTGTTGACTTTAAACAATGTCAACTAAATTTCCAAACATTTTTTACTCATCCAAAAAACATCTTTCCTTATAGTACATTTTTTCGTTTATCGGTAGTTTAACCAGTTGGGTAATGATTAAATGATTATAAACATAGTTTAGATGGTCATGTTCGACTACTTCTGTTATGCACTAAAGTCAATGTTAGGTAATAAATTCTGCGGAATATCTCGAGCAGTACTAGATTTTAATGTTCAGATTTGTAATTCGTTCCAGTAATCTGTAAGAGGAGTAATTCAGAAAAAATATTCAGTAGGAAAGATTAAGCCAACTTTAAGATTGCAGCAATCTCAACAGTGTCCTACCTGTCGTGCAGCGTCAACACCTATGAATATCGTGAAACGTTTATATTTTGCTAATTGTACCGATAAAGCTGTGAATGATAGCAAAACTTCAGTAACTGATTCTGATACGGTAATGATAACTCTTTCACAGCTAATATGATCTGTATTGTAAATCTATGTATTTAAAGTCGGTATATTCTCGTGATGACTTTAGATAGCTATTATTGAAGATTTAGAAGTGATAGTCTACGATCATTTCATTTATCTCAGACTTGTATAGCTCAGTGACCTTAGTTAATATATTAGTACTGGCTAATAATGAATGATTTGGTTGTCTAACACAAGACTTCTTTGATTAACACTGGTAGCATGGTTATATTACTAATATTTCACATTGCTCAAATCATCCTCGTTTACTACAATGCGAAAATGCAAATACTGGAGAAAGTTTTTTGTTAAACAGTTCTCTTTTAATTTACATTAAATTGACAATTTTTGATTAGGGAATGCTTGCTTATTAGGACAGTAGTTTGTCTTTTGCTTAGAAAAATGTTCCGTCACTACAGAAATCCAAAAAGATGGATAAATGTGATGTTGGTCATCGTAGTGCTGGTAATGATGAAAATTGCAACAATAACAGTGGTGATTCTGAAGGTTGGACTTATGATTAATTTTATAAAAACTAACCGAATTTGTGCAGAAGTTATTGAACTTTAAAAAAAAAATTCATAAATGAAGTTGAAAGAATAAATTAGTTATATGTGCATTTTTAGATGAAGAAGTGGATAGTGATTTCACAGGTAGTGACGAGGACTCAAGTATGAGTAGTTCGGAAAGTGAAGATTTGGATTATCATGATTCAAGTGATGCTGGTACCGTATTTATTTTATTTTCATATATTCAAGGGTACTGCTGTTGTTATAGGTTGAACTTTAATCACTATCTCGGGAAGATTTATTCTAACAGTAAAATTTTGCAGTTTCTGATAATAATCTGTTTAGACTTGGATTTATTTAATAGATATTTTGAAGCTTATGGGAACATATTATTACCAAAGTATTATCACTTGCTTATCATTGTAGGATAATATCTAGGAAAATGATTTAAATAACGTCAGTAAGGTATCTTTAGACATGACAAGCCTATTGGAAGCATCAGCTAGTGATACATCGTCAATTTCACTTGGAACGTTTTCGGATGCAGTCAGCGAAACTGATGCAGTAAACCATGACAATATGGAAACACCTAACTCGTTTAACGATCATGAAGAAGTTGGTAATGATCATAATAATTATACCTCAGTCCTGCGAATTGAACGTATCAGTGATGATGGTGATGATGGTGATGATGATGATACTAGCAATGATGAGGATAGTTTTAAGTCTGATGACAGCGATAACCGTGAATCACAGGAATACAGCCGTTTGTTGAATCATTTCACTTTTGAATTACAGGTGTTTAATCGAAATATTTTATGAGACTTTATAATGATGCAATGCACTGTATCATTCTTTCTATTCCATCAAATGACAGTTTCAAAAATTGTTCATTTATCACAGTTTTAGACAAGATTTTTCTGCTCCTGTCAAGAATTTCGTTTATTTATTGTATTAAATATTTACTTAACTATTAGTATGTACTGTATATTCTATTGTATGGAAAGTATCTCCTTACTTTGCATATTATAAAGCATTCTTTAGTGAATTTGTCAGACTCAAGAAGAAAAATTTTTTTGGATTTAACAATTTTTTATTCTATCCTACGTGACACATTCGGACTCTAACCGGGTCCACGCTTACTCGGATCTCAGTGATATTATCACATTAAAAATTCGAACTTATAGTTAATTGCAATTAAATGGTTGATAATAGATATAATTCAAATGCATTTCATTGTTACTGTCTATATTAAGAGGAAGCATTTCATTTTTCTTTTGTCTCATTCATCTATTCCAATTATATTTTTAGAATAACTTAGTTTAATTTGGCCTTAATTTCAGCATCGAAATTACCGATGTGTTGTGTAATACCATAGTTTAATACCGTAGTTTGCTATGTAATACCGTAGTTTCTAATCTATTAGTGGAATACTTCCAAATATCACACTGCTCCAAAAATAAGGACATTGTTTCAATTTCAGATAAGTTGGTAATCTTCTTTTATCCATATTCAGAAAATTACTATTGATGAACTGCCGATTTTGATGTTTGGCGCCATGCTTACAAAACCATAGTTTTCGAGTCCAAATTATAATTCATAGTCCTTCAAGTTTTATTTTGATGTTTTTAAAATTTTGAATTTAAGTTTTATTGAAAAAAAAATAAAGAGAAGGTAACAATTATCGTTTGAAGTAAATGATAGTAAATACAGATTGATAGCGATTGAGACCTGTTATCCCTATTATTATATGGAAATATAAGGATTAAGTAGAATAAAATGGAAGAGAATACAGTAAAATAAAATAAAGTTGAATGAGAGTTGAAAAAGGTTATGAATGAAATAATTATTAATGTAAGTTGGAACTCTTTCACCAAATGTTTCTTTCGTTCCTTAGCCTGTTATGCTTTCCTAGTCGATGTTGGATTTTTCGCTGATTTGCTCATTTAGTTAACTAATTATGTGTTAATTTATTTAGTTCATTTGTTTAATCATTCTGTTTTTAACTTATTTGTTTCATTATTCATTATTTGCATGTCCATTTTATTTGAATTTGTTGAATTGATTTGCTTCAGTTTTTCAAATTATTGACTAAAATAGGGAGTCAAAAAATTCAATTGAAATGAATCTTCTTCAAAAGTTTCCTTAATAACAGCATTGGATAAGACTTGAGTTATTATGGATCAACAAAAAAATCATATTACTCTCCAATAAATTTATTTTTTTTCTCATTTTGCATACTTCAAAAAAATATTTGCTCTACTAAATAATCGTTTCGGTTGATCCATTTCTTCTCTTCTCTTCTCTATTAATCTCTTCAAAAGAAAAAAATTGAAAAGAAGTATCTCTTCAATTTGTATGGTTAAAGTTCTGGAAATGAAAATTACTGAAAAATACTACTTGGTATTCTTAAACCAGTTTGATGATAATTACTGTAATAATCATGATGTGAATAATATAATTTTGAATATATTAATGCTATACTCCGAATTGTTTATTAACTAATTTTGATTATATGAATGAAATCTTATGCATTGCATTTGTGCCCTTACACTTCATTCTAAATTTAAATTAAATCAATAATTGTCATTTAAATAAATTGAAGACAAATTAAGATAAATTTAAAAAAATTCAGACAGACCGAAATAAATTATGGTACTTTAGCGCCATAAATATTATCAAACAAATTTATCTCGAGGATGTTAAATGCATCATCTTGTGAACGATAATTTTTATATCACCTGAATGTCTTAAATTATGGAAATTTTTCAAATTAGCAAATTTGAAAGTCCAAAGATAGTGTAGAACTAACTCATTAAATGATATATAAATCCAATTATAATCTTTATTTTTTCCTTCAAATATATCATTTTCAATGATAATTATGAAAAGTTTGAGTGAATTCTGAAACTGACATGCCCACTTAATACTTAAAATTGTAGTAGTACTTTTTATAATGTCTTATTAGTTAATTTCCCATTACTACCAGCCTTTCCCTTCCTTAGTCTTGTGATATTTATTTGTCATCATAATATAGCGATTAATCAATCCTTTATTCTCGCTATTATCTATGATATCCTATTTTATCATTTTATTTACTGTATGGATATTATCACCTCTAATTGAACTTTGAAATTATGCTAAAGTACTTTGCATGCATAAATTTAATAAATCTTTTAGCAACTGTAAATTGTATGCATTTTAATTCCCTAAAATACTCCAATTTCTTCTGATCATTTTCAGTTAACAATTTCATGTCACATTATATCCTTTCGAGAAATTTCATGTCACATTGTATTCTTTCGAGATATCTTCATCTACTGTACTCTTCCTTGTAATCAACTATATTGTTCTTGAAACTGGTTTTTTGATTTGATTACTGTTTATCTTTCCTTTTCTCTTTTTATTTTTTCTTGTTTACTTTTGTCGCTGTTTGGAAAAATAAGTATAATACATAAGTAAGAAGAAAAAGCTTGCCATCGAAATTTCTAGTAAATTAGTTTAAAAATCGACACTGATTGAATTAACATTTAATAAATAATTTTACTAAAGTAATTATTTCACCGACTATCTTTTAAAGAAAAAAAAATAGTCAACTTTTGACATTTCAACAACACTTGCAATTAATGATAGCTCTTTAGTAACAATATAAGCAATTTTTTAGGGTATAGAAATGACTTGTTGTCAAGAAATGGTATCATTTTTTAATTTAACAATTAATTCATATTAAACAGTACAATAATTACTTTTAGTTTTTAAAAATTACTTTCTCATTTTGATAGGTTTCAGATGACACATTCACAGAATTAAATTTTCCTTTGTAGTTTTTATTTTTTATTTTTGTTTGTTTCAATGAGAAATTTTGTAAAGTTTTTCTATAATTTGTAAAGTTTCTCTTTTTCAATTTATTTATTGATGTAAATTTCTTCAACAATTACAATTAATTTCAGTCATTCATTCATTCACTTGTTAATTACTGAGATATAATGCATAGAAATTAAGCACTTATTCGAATACTTGAGACTTTTTTTCATCTATAAAATGTTACTATTAACTTTTCTTAAAAAGACTAGTAAATAAATATTAGAAATTCTAATATCGACAACTTACACTAATGAAGTGCACAAAAATAAAATTTTTTCATGATTTCATCTTGCATCTTTTTTCAAATGGACAAAATTAAATCCTTTTTTAATGGGAGAAACATCAGATCAGATTAATTAAATTACTTTTTGTATTATTTGAAGTGCTACAGAGTTTGATAATTGCTCGGCAAATTCTGATATTAATTCATTTAATTTGAGTTTATCCAGTTTGATATTTGATTTTCTTTTTCTTTTTTTTTTTTTCTTTGTTTATTTCTACAATAATAAAAAATTATCTCTAATTTTCGAAAAGGTTAGCATTCAGTGACAATTTTTTGAAATATGACACAGAGGAATTAAATTCTATGAGAAACGAATCATTCGTTGCTCTTTTGTCCATTCGTCCATTTATTTCTTTATTTATTCATTCATCCGTGAAGCAATTATTTCAACTAATTTAACCAACTATGAACAGCTTTTTTTTTTTTTTTTTGGAAGTGATCGAAATAATCGGAAAAGCTATTTTGAAAATTAATCTTAGTTTACTTTTTTTTTTTGCATACATTATTTCAAATAAATTTTTCAAAACTACAATACAACTAGAAATTTAATTTAAAAAATTAAATGTAATAACTTTTTAAAATTTTTGAACAATCAGTGATAAAATTAAACAAAAAATATAGAAATGGAAGACATAAACACTAGAATAATTTTTTGTAAGGTTAAACAATTTTTGAGGAATATTTGATATTTTCTATATGTATGTATAGGTGTGTGTGTTTATATCATTCTCAGCATTTTTTCTTGAACCTTTTGATTAATTATTGATTGATTAATTATTGACCAGGTATGAGAAGGTAAAAAAAGTTTTTATGGTACAAAAATCTAAGCAATTTGATTAATTTTAAATTTCAATGTTTGTAAAATGAAATGGAAAAAACCTACTAAGGTGAATTTTAATACATTACAATAAAAAAAAAAAAATAAATAAATAAAATAAACATCAATTGGACTTCTCTCTTCCATCGTTTTTTAATGTCACATCGTCCATTTTAAACTCAATTTTTCTCTCATCAATTTCCAATATCCGCCCTTAAATTGACTATATTTCAATCTATTTCCAGTTTTTCGGAAGAGTTCCTAAATTAAGAACCTTTTTTTTTTTTTTTTTGGTCGATTTAAAAAATATACAACCAGTTGTTGTCTCTTTTTCCGATTCATTTCCAATAGCATTTCGTAAATTATCTATTATTGATCAAATCATTTTGAATTTCGATTAATCAGTAACTTAAATATCTTGTAATTAAAAATTTTTATCTTCAAGTTCATTAAAAGTTGATGAAAATTTTGACACGAAATTGATTGATAGTGATAAAGTAGAGGTATAGAGAGAGAGAGAGAGAGAGAGAGAGAGAGGGACAGATTTTTATAAGCGATAACAAATGAAATAAATATCTCTTCCTAGCAAATAGAAAAAGCATTAATTTGGTATATATCAGAGTTGTCTCTATTTGTCACCTGGATAAGATAATTTCAGCTATAGTTGACACGCAGGTCACGTGATTTGAATTCAGGATTGGAATTTCATCTTTGTAAATGACTTTAATCAAGTCTTCAAATGGAGTAAGCGGAATCTTTTTTTCTTTCTTTCATTTCTATTTTGTATAATCTTTTTCTATTATGCCATTTGTTGTAGATAATTTCATGAATAATTTATGATTTATTTTATTAAATTAATTTATAAATGATTTAGTAACAAATGTAAATAATCTTTGAATTGTTTGGATTTAATTTTTTAAGTAATTCTGTCTTACTCATAAATAAGCATTTGTTATTTGATATTGCTAATGACAATTTTTCATGTTTTTTTTTCTCTACTATTTTATAACAATATTCCAAAATTCCATTCAAAAAAAAAAATTAGTGCAGTATTTAAAAAAATAAAAATTCCAAAATTTGAATAAAATAAGAAAAATTTTATCAGAGGTTATATCTGCAAAAATTTTGAATTAAATTTAATTAAATTAGATGTATTTTTTAGGCATACATATGATCGAGTTAATCGACAGATTGCTATTACCATTGCCACATATCCATACCAATTCCTTTTTGCAACACTTTTCTTTTCCGCATTTCTGTCATTTTCACTATTTCATTCCACTTTAGAAGATGACATACGACGTAGCTTCTCACCACCTAAGTCGAGAGCAGCCAGGTATCATTAATTTCTCTCTATTTTTACTATTACTAGTGATAACTAATGATAATGTCATCATAATTATCATTCAGATCATTTCTGTATCATTCAAAAAAGCATTCATAATTTTTTCTTTTTTTTTTCAAAATTTTTTCGACAGTATATTTATGTATAAATTAAAAAAAAAAAAAAAAAAAAGGATGAAAGTGTAAAAAAATAATGATTTAGAGGTTTGATATTCCTAATTTTTGCTAAATGTTAGTTGATGTAGGTGAAATATGATCTGAATCGAGTAGGTTGCAAAATCGAATGGGTATTGTAATGAGATAAAAATTATTGTTGATCAAAGTTAGTAAATAATATTAAAAAGTTTGAGAAAGTAGTCGTAAGCAATCGACAAATGCCAACTTAAAATAAATATCCAAAAAATCCAGAAAAAAAATTTCGTAGAAAATTTTTAACGCAAACAAAGGGGTGTAATTGATAACATAAGCATTAACTTATAATAATAAGTCACCTAAGTTACAATTCTGCAAAAGAGAGTCAACTAAAGAAAGTGCTATTAACTTTGTTAAATTTGACTATAATTATATTACATATCGAATGTATGCTTTAAAATATTTTATTTTTTATCATTGAACCAATTCTTAACATTATTTAATTTAATTTAATAATCATTTATTAGTAATTATTTCTTCTTAAAAATAAGCTTTTTACAGGGAAGAAGAAATATATAAACAATTTTATAATATTGCTAGTGTTCCTCAACGTGCTTTTATTATATTTTATGCAAAAGATGGCGGAACAATGCTACGTGAAAGTCATATTGATGAAATGTTTCAAATCAATAAAATAATGACTGATGTTTTAAATAATACGGAATATTTTGATTTACCAATTTGTCATCCATTTTGTGATGTCAATAAGCCAATTAGCATTTTCTGGGTAATATTAAAAGAAAATAGTTTTTGTTAATTTTTGTTGTTTTCTTCATCGTAAATGTACACAGAAATTACCTATAACAATGCTTATTTTTAAAATCATAATTTTTTTAAACGAAATATTATTTTATTTAAATTTTATTTATTTCTAAATGGGTAATCATTAATTTTTAATTAACAATAAGCCAAAACAAAATAATTGATTGTTATCATTGAAAATAACTGTATTATTTCTTTTTCATTGATTTTTTTTTAACAGCAAAGTTTGCAAGTAGAAAATAAATAAATATGATTTCAAAAGATTAAATTTTTTTTGTCTTTAACAAATAATTTTCAAAAATGAGACAAAAAGAGTAAGAGAAAATTGCAATTTTATTACAAAAAAAAAAATTTCAGGATGAATTCAAAAAAAATGGAAATGATACTGATTACGACAAAGATGCTATATTTTCATTCCCAGTATCAACCGTATTTGGACAAGAATTTTTTCTTGGCTCAAATCTATTCAGTGTTCAGTCCTCCGGCAATGTTTCCAAGTTTTTTAACTAATTGAATAAATTCTTTTTTTTAAAAAAAAATTTCTTTCGCTTTTTATAATGAATATTTCTGTCACTATTTTTGTATTCATCATTTTATGTTTCTTGTTAATTAACAAAAAGTTTTATTATTCAAATGAAACACTTCTTTATTATTTCTAGATTATGTATTTTCGAATCGATCTACGATAATACATGTAGGAACAATTATGTTCTGGCATTTAGCTGATGCTGATAATGCACATAAACTTAAGACACTTCAAAATGTCACCATAACATTGTTTGAAATGTCTAGAAGGAGAAATGTCACCAAATGGATTAATTTCAATATTTTTGGTGACGAAATTGCAAATCGTGAAATGATTCGAGGCGCTTATCAAGTGAAAAAAACTTATAATATAAATGTTTTCTTGCAAATAAAAAGATGTGAAAAAAAAATTTAACTATTTAATTATTTGGACTTTTTTAAAAACTTTACTTTGAAATTATATTAGTTATCATTTTAATTCGGTTATTCATGGAAATTTTTGAAACTTCACTCATTCCCTGATGAATTTTCTAATATTTTTTTGGTTATTTAAATTTTTTTTTTCTGTAATTCAAAAATTCATTTGAACTGATCAAAGAAATTATTAGGCAACGAAATTAATGACAGTTGGATTTCTCTTTCTCATTTGTTTCGTATTTCTTGTTGTGTGGCGCAAAATGGAACTCAATCTTTTACCGCCAATTGTCTTTGCAACAATATTTTCACCACTTCTAGCTGCCATCTCATCTTTTGGTATTATTTCCTGGTTACGATTACCCATTTATTCTATGATGTGTGTCACACCATTTCTCATTCTTGGAATTGGTATATTTATTTTTGTCATTTCATTTCACTTTTTTTTTTTTTTTTTTGATACAAATTTATTTTTAAGCACTAAGTTTTCAAAGTGCTGAAAGGTTTTTAGTGATCTCGAAAATTTGGTGAAAAAAAGTAGCAGTTGATCAAACTGGCAAACTATATGAATTTTTGATCCTATAGAAGCTTCTTTTATGGCATTTCTAGTAATGATGTATGCTGGAAGTTAATTAATTTATGACAGAAGTTAATTTTACGTAGATCCAAAATTAAAAAGAAAGTAAGATTTAATTTTAAAGTATGACTATAAGGAGATAAAAAAATTATTTATGTTATATTATCATAGAAATGATCGAAGATAGAGGAATGTATGAGAAGAGTTTATTAGAGAAAAAAATTGCAAAATAACCCAAATTGTAGCATTAATTAAATATTTTTTCCTTTAATTATTAAATCAAATTTTAAATGAATTACAGGAGTGGACGATGCATTTATTATGATTCAAAGTTGGACCAATCTAAGGGCTAAGACATCTCGCAAAGAGCGATTAGCACAAGTTTTTATCGAAATTGGACCATCAATTAGCATTACATCGATGACTAATCTAATTGCTTTTGGTATTGGTTATTTAACTCCAACACCACAGGTAAACAACTCAACAACATTTCACTTTGTTTCATCTTTGGACATCCTCAATTGTCCATTTTTCTTCTCTTAATGTCCTTTCATCTCTTCCTCAAAAATATATGTTTTATCACTATCACATAATCAGTTTAGTGCACAGATTCATCAGATTAGTGGAGGGGAAAAACAATTTTATTAAATTTCACAGAATAAAAAAAAAAAAGAGAAAAAAAGCAAAATAAAAAATTTAGTTATTTTTTCAACTTCTTACCAATTTAAATATTATACAAAATAAGGTTGCTAACACTTAAACTTATAATACTTAAAAAAAAAATTTTTTTTTTCAGATGAGTTTATTTTGTTTGTGTACATCATTTGCTTGCTTATTGGATTATATTTTTACATTTACATTTTTGGCACCAATTCTTTACTTAGCTGATAAATCAGAGAATGATTATGTGATGGCGAAAAAAGTGTCAAAAAATGAAGTAAGAAATTTTCGAACGATGAAAAAGAAATTGTGACCGTTTTAATTTCTTCTGCAAAAATTTTCTCATTAATGATGGTTTATTATCTGCTCATTTACTAAATTTTATCCTGAAAAATTTTTCAGACAAATTTAACGAATAAAAAAAAAAAATCATTAATTCTTCCATTATATTTTGATAAATTTAATTATAGCTTGGCGAACAATGTCTAGCAAGTTATAGTAAATTGATATGTTCATGGAAGGGTCAAATTATTGCAATAATTATATTAGTAATATTATATTCTCTGTCAGCAATAGGAGTTATGAAAATGAAATCAACCTTTGAACCTGTAAAAGCATTTCCATCTGATTCAATATCTACAAGTTCATTTACTGTTCTTCGGTATGTGTCTTATTTTATGTGAAGTCTTATTTTTTCTTTCCTTTTTTTTTTTTTTTTTTTGAAAAATTTCTAATTCTAAGACTTTTATAGATTCTTAGTAAAATTTTAATTTCAGAAATGATTTAGATAATTAAATAAACATCATTCAGAAGCTTTAATAAAAATATCCTCATCCAAGCTGGTAAAAATGATTTAGATAACTAAAAAATCAGCAAATATTTGAGCTTTTCTCTTAATTTTCAAGATTATTAGACAATTTTTTTTTTTTTCATTCTTTTATTTTTTCCTTTTTTACAGAATAAAAAATGAAACTGAATTTTTTTATTTGTGATAACATTTTCAGAGATGTTTTTGATCAATTTTTTCCACTTCAAATTGTCATTAATAAACCACCAAATATTAGCAACTCAATAGAAGTACGTTTCTTTTTCATCGATAAATTTAGTAATGATTAAGTAATCCTAGAATAATTTATGATATAATTAATATATTTTTTCCTCAAAAATTAATTTCTCTCTTTAACTTAATTCAGTTTGTTACTAATGCAATTTTTTATTAAATTTATTATTGAAATTTAAATGTTATTTAATTAAGATGAATTAAAGTTTTTTTTTTTCGAAATATAACTATGTCTAATAAATTTTAGTTCTATATTGAGTATTTCAGTATAACGAGTTTCACGATATGATAAGAAGCTTAGAAGCGATACCTAACAGTTATGGACCCAATCGAACGATGATTTTCCTGAAAACATACGAAGATTTTGATCGTAAAATATACAATTTCTTTAATATGTTAGGTATAGCTGATCAGGAAAAATTTACACCTTCATATGATAATTTGCCGATATTTCTGGATCACATCAAAAATCCACCATTCATCAAAATGAACAATGAAAAGTTAGTCGTAACTTTCTTCCATTTTTTTTTTTAAATGATTATTGATGCCTAATAAATTATAAAATAATTCAAGGATTTTTTCCTTGACTAAAAGTGAGATGAATATGTTACATTTATTGTGAATGTTTGTTTACTTTAGGAGAGAAAATAAACCTAAAAAATAAAAATAAATTGATATTAATGGTGATAAAACATCATAATTCTAAATTTTAAAATGTTAATACATGTGGAAAGATAATCTTTCAAAAGACAACATCAAAATCGTATATTTGTAAACTTTTTTTTATTAATAAATAATTTTATGAATAAATGAAACTTACAAATGATCAAAACATTATACCATAAATTAATTAATAAAATTATAAATATAAATCTTTTGTAAGAAATATATTCTCATATAATTTTACAGTTAAAAAAAAACATCATCTATTCATTATGAACTGAATTTTTCAAATATTAAATTTTAATTTCTTTCTTTTTCAGAGGTGAACATAAATTGGTATCATTCGTAATTACAACAACTGCTCGAAATATGTCTGAATGGTCAAACCGTGCTGAATATGTAGATGCATGTCGTACAACTCTTCGTAATTATCCACATTTCAATGCAACCGTTTATGATGGTGACTCAGCTGTACTGGATTTAATATTAACTGCAAAAAAAGATCTTATTGGATCAATTACTGTTACAGTTATTTGCATGGCAATTGTATGCTTATTTTTTATTGGTAGTAAAATTGGTGTACTTATTATTGCTTCAACAATATTATCCATTTGTTTTAGTAAGTTATTTGCACGTTCATTTCTACTTAATGTATTAAAATTTTTACATTTAAAGAAAAAAGTAAATTGATATGGTAAAAAGTAGGAATAAAAGGTAAAAGTTTCAAGCTAATTTATTATTTTTTTAAGCATTAGTTGGCTCATTATCATGGTGGGGTGCAGATATGGATCCTGTAACAATGGTTGACGTACTTATTGCTACCGGATTTAGTGTCGACTACACTGCTCATATCGCATATAAATTTTACAAATTAACCGGGTGTCGGGAAGAGCGAATTAAACAAAGTTTCCGTGAAATGTGCGGTCCTATGTTTCAGGTGGGATTTTTTGCTTACATTTCTTCACTCTACTTAGCTATTGATGAGTAAATCTAAAAAAGAGCACATTTAAAATTGAATCCGAATCCCTTGAGTTCAAATTTCAAATCTTGACTCATTCCTAAATCATTTCTATGAAGAAAAAACCTAAACACCAAATTAAATTTCAGCTCAATTCAGAGCTGAACTATAATTCCGGCAGCAAAAAACTTTATTTTGCAGGCTGGCATATCAACGATACTTTGTATGTTACCGCTTATCTTTGTTCCAACTTATGCAATTTTAGCATTTGCTAAAACAGTTTTTCTGGATGTAGGTCTAGCTTTGTTGCACGGATTTTTCATACTACCCATTTTACTGGTCACTTTATGCCGCGACAATCGGAAAGAAGCCAGTAACGACAAAACAATGAACACATCCGGAATGATAAATAGCGACATAAATAATGGCAATCTATTAGAAAAATAAGTGAGCATAAATTTGCACAATTTTATTGTTTTCGCTATTCCAAAGTAATAAAAGAGAATGTTTTGCAAATGGTTTATACCTTTCTTTTCAGACAAAAAGCTTTAAAGGCACTAGCATCTTTCGAAAACTTTGTACAAATCATGCAAATCAGCAATTCGACGTAGTGAGGATGTTAACTTCTGTGGCGGTAAAAAATTGATTTTTAATGCTGGAAATAGGATATCCTGATAGACATTCTTCCAAGACAACTTTTCTTTACACAAACCCGAAATTGTTTCCCCATCGCAAAACTCCTTTTTAAGGCAGAAGAATTCCGACAGTGCCCAACAAACTTGCTCGAAACAAGTTTGCTCCTGAAAATACGACAAGCTTAAGTTGAATTTCAAAAAATTTTTTGTGTAACTGTTAATTCCTTTGTTATATATATTTTTTTTCCAACTAACTTCTTAGAACAAAGTTCCTTCAATATTTGTTGTCAAAATTGTAAAAGATATTAAACATAATCTTGTTTAAAAAATTATAGAATACATTTGCTGTATACAAATATCTCAACCGGTAATATAACTAACATCATCCCATATAATGTCATTTGCTAATGTTAATATTAATTGCGGAAGAGATTCCAATTGCGGAATAAATCCATCAACTAAAGATGGGATCGAACTAAGATTTCCATTCTCCGTAATGGACAAACAGAAATAATCATCCAACATTTCGCGATTTTCAATTACAATAGCTGCTTTTTGTTGAACTTCTGCAGAGGATAAGCTACTATCAGCAATATATAACAGCTCAGCTAGTGGTGCGCATTCACTTAGTTTATATGATCCAAAATTACCGAACGAAAGGACAAGAATCTGCAACTGAGAAAACTTTATAGCTTGAAAACTAATAACAGAATTATTGACATGCTGCTTACTGCTGCTTATGAAAACTCGAAAATAACATCAGAAAATTTCAAATACTAGCAAATATACTGACCAAGCACTCTATAAAAATAATTTCAAAAAAAAAAAAAATTGCCTTTCCATGTCTTAATTAGTTAATGAAAGGAATTTGTGAATACATCTAAACTTTGATACTAGTGCTTACTTTTTCATCAATTTCTATTTAGTTGCAAAAAAAATCACCTGATAAAAGAAATTCCGCAAACAATCTTGAGCATCCACTAAGTAAATTGACGTTGAATGTTGTATGAGAACCTGATCGATATTCACAGCTCCAATATATATGTGCTCCTTGAATAATGAACGTAAACTGACAGAAGCCGTTGTACAAAGTGCTTTTTTCATATTTTGTAGTGATTCAAATTCAAATTTGCGCCATTCACCACCATCTGACAACTGTGCGCTAAATATATGAAGCGAATTTTAAACCAAATTTATGATAGAAGTGAAGTTTCATTTTTTCAAATCTTGTCCATTTTCTTGAGTTAGTTGTAATCGAAATAATAGCAGAAATTTGAAATTTAAGTTAGAAATGGGAAGATAAAACAAAACTGTTTATCCATATTTCCATTAAGCAATATAATTTGTGTTATGAAAGCTACCCAGACTTTGAATATCAAATGTGCTCAAATATAACAATAAATAAACACAGTTCACTATTATTACTTAACCTATCAATTCAATTAAGTCTGGTTATCGATGACCGTATTATAAAAACCTTGAAGTGACATCATTTGCTGGATGCGAAGGCGATACAATTTGCGACTGACTAGCTACAAATTCTTCTAAGCGTCTCTCCTTCGCATCAGTTCGTACCAGCTAGGAAAAATTCAGAACTTATTCTTCATTTTTAATGTTGTAAGTGCAAATCTACAGAAATCCAATGAAAAATTTATAATTGAAAAACCTGATGCGGGTAAACTTTTGGTGACTTAGCGTTGGAAGAAGATGGCGGTCCACCAAGCGATTCTGGGACAAGCATCATTAGCTTCTTTTTTTTTGTACTTGAAGTAATCATCGTATCAGATTTTGATGAACTGTTATCAGTATTATCGACCATTAATGGAAATTTCGGGTGTACATCACAACTGCCAGCCAAATTTAGAATCAAATTTTCCACATACTGAAAAACATGAAATTAATTGTAACGAGACTTCGAAATAAGTTTCAGTTAATAGAAGTTAAGCTTCAGTTAATGCGTCAAATAACATAATTCACATAAAATTTCCAAAACAGAAAGTAACAAATTTACATCTTGAATAGAACTGATGATGCTGTCTTGTTCCAAAAAATAAACAACAGATTTTGTCGGATGTACATTAACATCAACACGCCTCGGTTCAATCTATAAGTGAAAATTAACTGACTCATTAATGGTTCGAAGCTAATTTTTCTGTAAATCAATCATCGAGTTGTATAATAGGTCAACCATTTATTGAATATTCAAAGATGATATGAAATTTATTATACAAAATATTCAACTAAAAATATTTTTTTTTGAACTCTCCGCAATGTCATATTCGTGGAACGTTAAAATATTAAAAAATTAATTCAACATACTTGCAACGAAATCATAACAAATGGTGACATAGTATTTTGAGCACCAAAAACAACGTCCAGTGCTTGCTTAAGCGCCTGACATTCAACACTACGACCATTGATAAATAAATAAAAAACTTTCTGACAATTCTGAAAAATGTTTGCTTTATTTCAATATTTTGATAAAATGTGAAGTGGAAAAATTAAAAATAATTTTATGAAAAATGATTCGGTTCCTCATTTATTTACTTTAATTCATTCTTTTAAAAATAAAGAGGAATAATAATAAAATCACCTGCCGATTTTGAAGAGTTTCAGCGGTACATGAAGCAGTTGGTCGTACAAAACAACCTTTTAGAGTGAAATATAATGCTGAATCGCTATGATTTAACAAAATGAGATCCTAAAACAATGTACAAATTTTTTACTGTAAATAAAAAATTTTTCTTTCAAATTTGGCTATTTTCGGGTAGTGCGTTCAAATTTGTAAAAAGATTACTTTGGAAAATTTTCCACCGAGTAATGAAGATATCGTTTCACAAAGATTATTCGTACCAGCTGTTCGAAAATCACTTCCACTACCACAACGTCGTAATGTAAATGATACGGAACTGAAAACAATGATCAGAGAGATAGACGAAATTCAACAAAAATCTATAAAAAATGATTTCAACTTCATAAAAGCCAATATTACCCACGGGTTATGAATAGCATATCGTACAACAATATCAGCAATACGATTCATTTCATCAGCAGGATATTTAAGTGAACGACGACGTGATGGACAATTGTAAAATAGATCTTCGGCAGTTACTGACGTACCATCAAGTCCAGCGGATGGTTTTATGTCGCCTTGCAGCTTGCTATCTGTAACAATGATCGATCACAATTTTCTTCATTAAATTATGCTAACATTTATTGGAATCAAAGAAAGGTTTAACATTTCTGATATGGAAACTTTGAATGTCAAAACTGCTAAACAAATTCAGATTAGATAGCTTTTTTGGCCTTTCAATAGCATAATAAAAGATAATATTCTACAGGAAAAATGAAAGTGTTTCGGAAATTATTTTCAGTATTTTTAATTTAATTCAATAAAATTCTCAATTGCTTAACACTGAATGGTTGCTAAAAAAAAAAAATTGAATAATACCTGTATAACGACCAACATAAGCACAAGGTGAATCCGATGTTTTCGAAATAATTGTCACTTTAGCTACGTGACTTATGGACGCTAGTGCTTCACCACGAAATCCAAATGTGCTCATACATTCTAAATCTTCGTATTTCTCTAGCTTCGATGTTGTAAAACGTTCACAAACAATTGCTAAATCATTTTTAGCAATTCCTTTTCCATTATCCTTGAGAAAATAAAAAAAGAAATAAATTTTTTGAATATTTAGAAAAACTAAGATAAATATTCCCACAGTCACTCGGAGAAGACAAAAGCAAAACGATAAACCAAATTCATAAAAAAAAATGTAAAAACAAAATCAAACCATAGTAAAAAAAATGTAAAATTTTAGAAAACAAGAAGGAATTCAAGTGCTTTTGTATTACCTGTACTTTCAATAAGTCGAGACCACCATTTTTAGCTGTAATAATGATTTCCGTAGCTCCTGCATCTAGTGCATTCTCAATCAATTCTTTAATGACATTTGCTGCCCGTACGATTACTTCTCCAGCTGCGATACGATTGACAACATTTTCCGGAAGACGACGTATCATTCTTTTCTAACTTAGCTCCATCCAGTATTACCACAATTAATAACTGAAACAGAAAAACAAACAGTTTTGAAGATTCACGCATAAAGTACGGTTAATTCACGTAACTGACTGAGATAACCCATTCCATCTCTAAACTGATATGCCTTTGAAATATTAATCGTAGTTTGTAATATACTGCCTGAACGAATACGTAAGGGTTGTGATACAGACGAAAGAGATAAATGCAAAGCCTTGAAGATTCATGACCTCACGTTGAAAAATCTCGAAACGACAATGAACCTATTACAAGTTGTGTGTTGCTTACTGATGACATGGTACTTCACTGAAAAGTTCATTGAGGGTTATTTATCCGCCAATCTAACTTAACATTTTTGAAATAATAATGAGCCAATTCCTAGTTCATTATCAGTTGAGTAAAGTAAACAAGAGAAGACAAATTAATTTTTAAACATTACACTTGCAGAAAAAACAAAATTCAGGAAGCTCAACAACAAATAAAATGAGAAGTTTAAGTTTTAATTCAAACTCTTCCATTCAAAATAAAGAAGTTAAATTTTACTTCCTTATTTTTTTTTAATTTTTTGTCCTCTGTGTGTCTTTGTGCAAGAAATAAGACAATTTAAATTATTCTTTCCGGACAATCATTCAGAAACTACATTAAGGAGAAATGTAAGGGGAATTCTAATTGAAAGCATTTATTAAGCTAATATAAAAGAAGAACGAAAAATTCCCAGTCTGGCAATACTTTTTCAAGTTCAGGTTAACGTTAATTAATCCAAGCTTGACCTTTACACTTCACATACTTCCAATCAGCAACCACTTCATTCTCCTTTTTCAACCACATCTTTCTTCTTCTTCTTCCTCAACATTACAATAATAATAGTTGCATTTTAACAAATGCTAACAAATAGTATCAGTCTGCAATAAAAATCTCAAAAAAAAAAAAAAAAAAAAAAAAAAAAAAGGAATGGTCGCGGTAATGGAACTGTTTATAAATTAAAATTGCACTTTTGAAGTGAAACCGGTATTTCAAATCTAAACACTTAAGGGTCAAATGAAAAAGGTATAGAAGAAATTGTTGGCTTCTTATTACAAAACATGCTATGATTAGGGTGTAACTTTTGTAGAAGTCACACTATAAAAGTTACTCATAAACCAGAAATCAGTACAATTTGTAAATGTTATATATATCAAATTTCACAAATCATTCCCTTTCATTCCAAAAAATTTCACAGCAGATAGTTTTAATCAAAATAATTTATTAACTTTTATTATAATTAATACCAATTTTTTTTGTTCTTTTTTTCTGTAATTAATATCTCTTAAAGTTATACTGTATAAATTAGCAAATGATACTTTTCAGCTGAATGCTCATCGTCTTGATTTGCTAGATAAACGACTTGCTTGATTTATATATATGTTGATTATCATAAATTGAATGAATGATGAATGTAACGACCATTTCAAAATTATTATGAAACAAAATTCTTGTAAATAAAAAAGAATTTCATAAAGTTTAAAATTATTTTAGATGGAAATTGATGAAGCACGAGAAAAAGCTTATACGTTTGTAACGTATACAGCGGTAATTTTTTCATTAGTTTCAATCTTAGCTATATTTATAACATTACCAATGGTTAACAATTATGTTACTCTTATTGGTTCTCGAGTTTCTGATGAAATGGAATATTGTCAGGTATGATATGAATGATAATTAAAATGTTATTCATGATAAGATAGTTAATATAGATTTCTCATTAGCAGCACTGATAAGCATTGAAAAAAAAATTTTTTTTTGAAGCAGTTTTTTTTTATCAGTTTCATCATTTTATCAATTCTCCTGTGATTTCAAACTTCCCTGACGAAAATGCATGCATAATTTTATTGGCAAAGATAGTTTAGCAATTGTTGTTTGAAATGAAACTTCAGTTCAGGCATCAGCCCGTGAAGTGATGCTTGAAATACGTGAACACCGTGCACCATCTGATACACTGCATGCTGTTGGCGAGAGTGCTGAAAATGCATTCAACTTTACTAGAGCTAAGAGGCAAGCTGGATGTGAAGGTTTGTCATAATTTGTGAAACTTTAACTTGGTACAATTTGTCAGCATTTGTTTTTAAAACTCTTTATTCATTTATTTTCTAATATTTTCAATTAATTTCAGAGTGCTGCTTGCCTGGATTACCAGGACCTGATGGCCCACCAGGAAAACCAGGGACACCAGGACGACCAGGAGCACCAGGCGCACCCGGTTTTCCAGGAAGACCACCAAGGTTATTTATTTTTTACTCATGTTTTCTAATTTTATTATTTTAATTTCGAATACTGGGTTTTGGTAGCTGGAAACTCCTAAATGAAATATTTCGAGTTGCAAAGTAATGTTTTATCATTACATTGTCAAAAGAATTTAAGTAACTTTAAAAAAAAAAAAATGTTTTTTTCCGTGTTATTAACACTTATTGAATTCGATACGTCTTGCATTGTTCAAAATTTGCAGAATATGTGAGGAACTAGAACCACCACCCTGTAAACCATGTCCACCAGGGCCTCCAGGACAGCCGGGACCAAGCGGAGATAAAGGTTTGCTTACATTTCCTCAAAATTTCGAGAAAATTTCAGAAACCGAATCAAAAAAACGAAATAAATGCACATGAATATACCAAAGATGTGGTATATGAATTTCTTGCTATTTGCTACCGCTGATTAATGATCCTAGAAGATAGGATAAATTATTAAACCTAAAAATTATCAGTCAAATAAATACCTCGTGAATTAGAAATCTTGAATTCTGTAAATCATTTATTCAGCAATGGAAATTATGAAATGATATTTTCAATAATTTCCCATAATTTTCTGTAGAATAATTAAACGACTCATTAATGGACTGAGATTTATTATCACATGAATATAAATTTAATCAAAACAAGTTTATTTTACTTCTTCAATTTCCTCTTGTTCATGAAAATCATTGAAAATAATACATACACATAATATTTATATACATACACACAGACATACACACATATAGGTATGAATAGAAACGGTCACGCCACCGGAACATTTTCTTTCCATTCTTCATCTGACCACTTCATCTATTAAATCTTTTCTCAAAAAAAAATTTACTCTTTATTTACGTCATTTTTTATTCCTAAAATTCCCATTAATTATTTCGAAATATTTAACTATCTTTTTCATTACTTTTTTCGCTAATAAACAAAGATAATTTTTCAAATTAAAGTATTGCAGTTTTGTATATATCCAATACATTTCTCTTTTTCATGAAAAACATTAAGTTAACAAAAAGCTTTTTTAAAAAAAAAAACAAAATAGTAATTATGGTTAACCTTTCACTTCTGATAATATTTATGATAATTTATTGCGATAATAAACGATGACACGCATTGCATTTTGTCTAAGCATTCATAATATGTTTGCAAAAGAAGATAAATTTTGCCCAGTTTTTGTTTCTTTTTTTGTAAAAAGATTTTTTTTAAAAAATTCAGTAGCATTTTTCATATTTGTTAAAAGATTGATATATCGCATCACATCGATGAATGTTAAATAAAAACCAGTTTCAAACCCAGAAGAAATTCAGAATAAATCATCTTTTTAGTTGTTCAATAAGTGTTCCCAATCTCAGAATTGTAAATGGACAGAAAGAAACGAAATATGATTAATAAAACAAATGATACGCATTCATAAAATTTTTTAATACAGGACCATCTGGACCACCAGGACCACCGGGCCGTAGCGGAAATCCCGGTCGTACAGGACCGCCAGGACCACCAGGGCCACCTGGACCTGATGGAAACCCAGGTGTTGATGGATCACCTGGTGAACCAGGTCGCTCAGTTATCACTACACCATCGATGCCTGGTGATCCAGGACCAGCAGGAACACAAGTTAGTGCGATTGATTCGTGTTTTGAATGATGTCAACTTGCAATTTTTTGCTTCCAATTGACAAAATCAATTCGGATCCTAAATATTTTCCAGGGACCAGCAGGAGAACCTGGCGACATTGGACCGCCGGGAAATCCAGGACGGCCAGGAAGTCCTGGTCCTCGTGGGTTACCTGGCCCACCTGGACAGCAAGGTAGTCCGGGAGAGATAGGCGAACCAGGACAGCCAGGTCACCCTGGACAATCAGGTGAACAAGGTATTTGTCCCAAATATTGCGCTTTGGATGGCGGTGTCTTCTTTGAGGATGGAACACGGCGTTAAGTAAGCAAGATTGTGACACATTTTTTCCTAAATTTTTTGAAATTCATTCAGATTTCATTATTATGCTATAATTTTAAACAAACGCAATCTTTTACTTTGTTATGCCTTCGTCCTGAAATAATAAAAAATCTGCAACTATTTTAGGATTGATTGATTATACAGTGCATTGGTTTTCATTATCATTTATTTGGAATTTCCAACAAAATACAACAAAATTTCTTTTTCTATCGCCTTGTGCAGTTATTTTCAACCATTGCTTATATAACTTTATAGTCAATTCAAATTTGTTTTCAAAAAAAGAATCATTCGAAATGATGAGACAGAAAAAAAGAAAGTAATAGTTATGAAAAAGGAATAAGTCAAGCAAATAAATGATTTGAAGAAAATTTGCAATTTTTTTTGCATGCTATTCTGTCATCAGTACTAATGCGACATTTCACATTCTTCTTACATCCAACATTTGCGCACTTAATTCAATGCATTTTTTGTCCATTCAATAAACATTGAGCAAATTTTAATTTTTGGAAAGAAAAAAAAAATAATGCAGGGTATTGGAAGAGTTTGCAGAAACTTGCTGATAGCTTTTCACTTAACCATTTCTTTACTTGAAATTTTCTTTGAAAAAGTCTATTCCATTTTTCCTGAAATTTTTGTGCTGCTAGAAAGAAATAATCGTACACTTTGAACAATTTTATTGAAATTCAATAGTTTCCAGATTTTATGGATGTACTTGAAATTGAAATGAGAGATAGACATACTGGGTTTTATCATTACACTTGTAAAGTTGGATTAAAGTGAAAGTTACGAAATCCAAGTTGCATATTTCTTTTTGGTGTAAAATTTGTGTTGAGACTGAAATTCACAAGTCAGGTATTATAATTCTTAATTTAACTTTGCATTCAAATATGTATTTTAAAGATGAAATGAAAAGTGGAACGTAGTAATTACTGAAAATATGATTGAAATATGGTTCATTATTAGTAACACAACTAGTGAAAGATTAAGTAACTGAAGATAAAAGGATTAAATTCTGTGAAAAAAGTTAAAGGATTGTAAAATCACGAGTGTAATGAAATTTTTATACCCGCGGGCAATAATTGTGTGAATTATGGTAAACAAGGAGAAATTTAAAGAAAAAAATAAATAAATATGCAATCTATTGATGGCAATCTGTGTTAATTTAAAAAAAAGAAATATTATTCTCCCATAGTTATCATGGAAAAAAAAGAATTCGACGAATTTTTTTTCTTCCTCTCATCAATAACAGACAGAAATGAGCCCCTAGAAAACCAGATCTTGTACTTATAAAAGTTCTAAAATTGTGAATGGAGAAAATCATTGGACTAGAAAACAGATCTAAATGATCCAGAAGAATTAAGAAATTTATTCCATTTGTCGTTTAAATTTATAATTGGCACATTTTATCATTATTGTTCATACTTCATACATATTTCATCTTATAATATTTATTCGGCTGTAATATTCATCTTATAATATTTATTCGGCAAACTGTGTGTTGGGTGATCAAATAAAGAAAGTAAATGATTTAAGATTTTTAAAATAATTGCCAATTAAATTCAAATTATAAGCGACATTTAAAATACATTGACTTTGAATCATGAAGTTGAAAAAGGATATGTGTTAATAGTGCAGTTTAGATTCGTTTGCAGTTAGTTTGATTCGTTATTAATTAATTTGATTCTAATTTCCTAACAATGTTATAGCTTCAGGATTATTACTTCATCTATTATGTAGAATAAATTTATTAGTAATAAGGATAACTGGATCAAAGAGTACAGTTAAGGACTGATCTATAAAATGATATTTGAACTGGACAGATATATCAGATCACATCACTGATTGCAAGTAATAATCATGGAAAGATGCATGCATATATGATTGTACAGGGAAATTTTGAGATGACTCCATAATTCTTACTAGCTAATTCTAAAGAAAGAGTTTGACCTTTTCCCATTGTTACCTTAAGATTGAGAAGAGAGAAGGAGAGTCAGTAGAAATGAAGAATGATTAATTTGATTTGCTGAAAGATATACTATTACAGATTGTTTGCTATGATAATTCTTCTAGATTAATTGAATGCATATGAAAGAATGAGGATATAACGGGTAAACTAGCAAAAGAATTGGGCGGGTAAAAGACGAATGTCATTGTTATTGCTATCGTACACCTCTCTCTCTCTCTCTCTCTCTCTCTCTCTCTCTCTCTCTCAATGATATTAATAGTAGTGAAGGGTATAAGTGCCGGGGGAAATGAAGAGAAAGGATTAATATATTCAGATATTCCGTAATCGAACATTTCATAGTCCTCCTTTTCCCTGCTTCCATTCATTTTCCTTCCTCTATTCCTCTCCACAAACCCTCAGGGCGGAGTTCATTCTTCCTCCAAGAAAAAAAAAAAAAGAAACAAAACAAAACAAAAAAGAAGAAAACTCTATACAATACCCTCCTACAGGACAGTCAACCTTCTTTTGATTTCAATATATAAATTGCTACTGCTTTCATTAGTCCTCATCTTACGTACACATACATGCATACACACACACACACACACACACACACACACACACACACACACACACACACACACATATACATACATACATACACATACTCACACATAGAAATATATCCATACAAATACAATAAGTTCATCATGGAATGTTGGTTAATTATCAAGCATTTGCATAATTTAAATCTTTTATTATTAAACTACTGCAAAATTCGTTTATTAATTTATCGATCATTGTAACAAGCTCTTTTATAATAACAGAATCGATCAGATCGCTTGATTTTGGATTCTGAAATCGTTGATCCAAAAATTTGGTTTTAGCCTATCATCATGTTAATCGAATCGGAAATACGTGAAAAAGCCTATCGACTGGTGACATTTTCGGCGGTGACATTTTCATTTGTGGCAATTCTAGCCGTTTTCATTACTCTACCAATGGTTAACAATTATGTCAATTCGATACATATGCGAGTACAATCAGAAATGGAATTTTGTAAGGTAATATTTTTCTCTGAAAATTTAACTTATCATTCTGTTTCATTTTTTGCTATTCTTTAGTTATAAAAAGTTATCTACATTAAGTTATCAGATGCAATCCTCTTTGAAACATAATGTAAAATTTAAGCTAATGACAATTGCGCAGCTTTATAATTTCATATACCATTTCAGTGCTTATTTATTATGAAAGTAAGTTATAAAAACGAAAAGTATTCAAAATATGGACAGACTATTTGATGATGTTATGATATGATTCGTCTATAGGGAACAATTTAAATGCTTTTTGTAAGGCTAAAAAAACTTCAAAATTATCAAGTTTAGAAATGAGAAATATCCAATTTAAATTCATTCTTTTTCTTCTGTAGGACCAAAAAAACTTTAAAACTATCAAGTTTAGAAATCAGAAATATCCAATTTAAATTCATTCTTCTTCTTTTGTAAGACTAAAAAAAAATTCAAAAATATGAAGTTCGGAAATCAAACAATAGTCTTATTTTAATGAATGTCGCATTTTTTAGTGATGGTTTTTGAAATTGTTACAAATCAAAATTCAAAGATATAATGTTTTATAAATCTATAAAAATCATTTTTTATTCTTTCATATTTCATATTTTTTCTTGACCCATTATTTATTATATCTTCTCATTTCATCAAATCTTTGCAACTTTTCCATTCCACTGAAAAAAACTTTTAGCAAAAAAAAAAGATTCATTTTGTTAATTTGTTGCTGAATTTTTTTTTTTTTTTTAATATTCTCTTTTAACATACATTTTGATAACGAAGAGAATACATCCAGAAATGCTCCAGCAATAATTAATTTCTTTTTCTTTTTTTTAAATTTTATTTATTTGTTTCTCCCATAATCTTTCATTTTTTTTCTCTCTCTCATAACATCCATTTATCCATCAAAGAAAATTGAACAGAAATGCTTAAAAAAACTATAAATTTCTCTTTCTTAAAAGGATTAAGTTATACGAAATACTACAAATAAATTAGGGATTTTATAAAGTATAATTTTAAATTTCTCTTAATAAGAATAATGTAGTATATTTTGAAAAATTCAAAGAGACTAAGATAGATAAATATATCAGTAGAGAAACAAACAAACAAATATGATAAATATTTAGTTGTGATGATTGACATATTTCATTGAGATAAGAAGGGCGAATTGTTCCGTTTTGAATGAGTGCAGAAGTGCTGATAACCAGTTCCACTGAAATTGTTAATGATTATCACTTGCATCCATTATTAGTTATAACTCTTATTCCAATTATGATTTATAAAAATAATTACAAGTATTAATTAATGCTTCACATCCACAAAAAGAAAAAAAAGTACACAATGATAAGATGAGATAGACTTAGTCGTACTTACGTGTCATCAAATCCACTTAGTCACACTTACGTGTTTAAGCAGTCAGATAATTATTTACGCTTAAGAATTAATGTAACAATTACTGTCACAATACTAGTAAAGATAATGATACTGACAATACCATCAATACAGAATTACCATTACTTATAGTTTTTAAGGAAAAAATTTAAATGTGAATCGAAGAAAAAATTAAATATGAATCAGTTTTAATTTTGTTAAAAATTAGTACTAAAATATTTGTCTAATTGTAGAACAATCTTTTGATGAAATGAAAATTTAATGAAATAAAATATTAAATGAGATATTAAGAATTGTATATGGTATATTTTGAAATAAGTTTATTAGGTGCATAAGTTCAATAATTAATTCATTTTATATTTTATACTATCACAACTCTCAGTTATTAATAAACTTTATGATAGCGATAAATTTCTTCGTAATACTAACGAAACGATAAATAAGTAAATGAATAAATAAATAAACAAATATATTCCCTTATGAATATTTAAGTTTCGAAGTAAGAAATGTATGACACAAATGATGGGTGCTAAAGGTTAACCAAAAATTATTTGGTTGTTGATTGATGGAAACAGTATTTACAGGTATTACGAAAGATTAAATTATCACTAAAATCTCGATGTAAAGAAAGAATTAATCATTTATTCGAACTGTTTGTTTTAAGTTCTATATTTATCTAATGTAAAACATCTCTTCAACGTAAACATGTTTGTTACAGAATAAATTGTTGGATTGATTTATTGGGACAATCAATCTCTTCAAGATCTATTAGTAAAATAATTGAATTTGATTTTATGGATGAAATTATCACAAGATGATAAATATAATTTGTAGTAAACTGGAATGATAAATTCGAATCAAAATTGCAAGATCAATTTTTGCAGCTATCAGTACGCGATGTAATGATGGAAGTAAATGAGTATCGAGCAGGACCGCGAGATGCCACACCAGCATTTCAAAAATTTTTACATAATCAAACCGCTGTTATTAGTCGTGCTAAGAGAGAAAACAGTCATTGTGCAGGTTCACTTAAATTTTTAAAATTTAAGTTTACGTAGTACTGCAAGCTTGAAATTCCATTCACCATACTTTGAATGTTTAAAGATTTTAATTCCCAGTTTTTCAACTTTAAATTCACTTTTTGTAGTTTCGAATTCGAAATTAAGGATTACTCAAAATTATGGTTTGGAAAATTTATTTATTAATTCAAAGCTAATTTTATTATTTCCAGGTTGTTGCTTACCAGGAATTCCTGGGCCAGATGGTCTTCCAGGCAAAAATGGTATTCCCGGGCGCCCGGGTGCACCTGGAGCCCCAGGATTTCCCGGAAGACCTCCAGCGTTAGCTTTTCTTTATTCATTTGTGTTCATCTTCACCCTAAAGTGCTGAAAGTATTATTCAAAAAATGAGTTGAAGGCGTACTTCCAATGCTAGATGATCGGCAATTATCGATTTTAGAATTTGTGAACAAGCCGTTGAACCACCATGCTCACCGTGCCCACCAGGAGAACCGGGACCGCCAGGAGCTCCAGGCGACCCAGGTTTCATCTTGCTCTTTCCTTAACTCTTCCTTCCTATTTTCAGGAAAGTTAATTAATTCAACTTAAACTTGGATATAGAGTAGCAAATTAATATTTAAAACATAATTGTTTTAATATTCTTAAGCTGATTGCAGGAAATGCTGGTCCACCGGGCTATCCCGGCCGGAATGGTAATGATGGACCACCAGGACCACAAGGTCCTCCAGGACAACCCGGACCACCAGGAGAGCCAGGACGCGAAGGTCCAAGAGGAGATCCAGGACGAGCAGCTATAAGTTCACCAGCAACACCAGGTGATCCAGGTGCACCCGGTGAAGTTGTAAGTGCCATTGAATTTTCCTCAATTTTCCTAGGAAATTTTTGACTCAGAAAAACTTGACCATCAAGGTTGAATCTGAAATATAATTATATGAAACGATCACTGTAGGGACCACAAGGATTGCCCGGTGAACAGGGTCCAGCAGGACGTCCAGGATCGGAAGGTGCGCAAGGAACGCAAGGACCACCAGGACCACCCGGCCAACCAGGTCAACCAGGTGAGGATGGACAACCAGGACCACCAGGACATCCTGGTCCACAAGGCGAACGCGGTATTTGCCCAAAATACTGTGCTTTAGATGGTGGTGTCTTTTTCGAAGATGGTACAAGACGTTGAAGAATATTGTAAAAAAAGTATTTCCTGCAAGTTTGCTCATCATCTATGAATTTCTTCAATATAATAATCTCTCATTTATCGACCAAAAAACAGCCACTATTTCTTCCCCAAAATCTTGCCTCTTTATATCATCAAATTTTCCAGATCAAAAAAAAAAAAAAAAAAAGCTAAAAACTTCGGCTGTTAAAAAACTTGAATTATGTTTTGGTAGAGCCTATTTTTTCTTCCTCTGTCGATGAATTTTTTCGGAATTCGAAGGCAATACAGTTCAGTTATGCAAATTTGGATAAAGCGCTTTTACTGCCGTTCATTTCTGAAAATTTTAATATACATAGAGCACTTCAAAGCTTCTGAAAAATATAGAAAATCAATTTATCCATAGTATGAACATCAAGGAAAAAGTAAGGTTTCATATACTTCAGTATAGATCAAAATGCTATTCCAAACTGCAGAAATATATTGACTGTGGACAATTGAATAAAATGTATTCAGCATAAAGCTTGAACTGTTTATTTATAACAAATAATTTTAAAAATCGAAAATTTGAATACGAAAAGAAGTTCGGATCTTCAGATCAAAGTTGTTCAGATATAATTTCATCAGATGGTAAAGAGCTTAGAGAAGTCGCTTGCGACAAAAACGTGAACCGCAAAAGCATTCAAGTCGCTTTCCATCTACGGCACCTTCCAAATAACCGTAATCCCAAAAAAGTTCCTGAAAATAAAGGTACGGAAGCGCTTTAGTCTACACAAAAGTCTCACTTTGCTTTTCGATTAAAATTCTGCGATTGTGAATGCTATATTCAACTATTCCTTAATTAGTTATAATCACTAAAATAAACAGTTTGTTCGTTACACACGAAACTACAGTAGCAATGAAAAAATGGCTGTATGAAAAATTTATTTTCTTTTTAAACGTCTCAATAGAAAATTAATGATGAAGAAGCAGCCTTATTTACACAATTTAAATTTTATTTCTCAAAAATCAATTTAAATAATCAAACAGAAGTTAACATACTGAACCGGCAGAAATCTTTGTTGTCGTGAAAAATGCAATCCAAGGTAGACGAAAATCATGAGTGTCAACATATACCAACTGGGAACGAATGTTCGGTTGACAACTATGATTAAAAAATCGTCCAATGTTACCCTTTTTCTTAGCATCAATTGTGTATAGTGATGGAAGCTCCATGTTTTCAACATATTTTAACATATCGAAACGACCTTCCGGTGGACCTAGTCAAAATTTTTATACAGATAAAAAATCAACAAAATTTTCAGGAAATGAATTGATTACACTGTTGCGTATTTAGAAATGTCGAATCTACAAAAATTATGAAACTAATAAAAAAATCGAATCGCTACCTGCTGGTTCAACTGCTGGCATATCATCACTGTCTAATTTCGTTCCACTTGTAAAGACATCTGGTTCCACCATAACAAGTGATGAACGAGCATAATCCAAATCTGCTGCTGCTAATTCATTCTTTTCCTGAAAACAATTCATAGAAATTTCAAAATTCGAGCCAAAATAACAAATAAAGCATTTTTGCACAAAAAATCTTAAAAGAAAGCCAATGAAACTTACTAATTCCCTTGTTGAAAGATCCTGTTCTTCATCATTACTTTCTTGTGCAAGTCTTCGATGTTTCTGAGTTTTAGCAGCTTTGCTTTCCGAATGACTTCCTTCTGAAGAGAATGACGAATCCTGACCACTGAAACATACAGTTTAAAATCAGTAAAGAAGATTATAAATCTCAAAATTAGAAAAACGGTCAGATTTCAGTAACAGATATTCATAATTTTATTTATGCTACAATAAAAACAGCAAAGAAATAAGTGATTATCCTAACCTATCATAATTGTCGTCTTCCTTACATGAATCTTGATCACTTGTAATCAGTTCTCCTTCGGCTGATAAATTAGCTCCACCATCACCTTAAGAAAAAAAACCTAATAGGTTATTAAACATTTCCCATAATTTATCCCAAAATCCTAAAAACTGATTCAAAATGTTGAATCTTACCACAATTATTTTCGTCGTCTGAATAATAACCGTCATTTGAATCTCCCAAATCCACACCAGCATTATGCTTTTCATTTTCAACGTTATCCACCAAATTTACATCAGCAAAATATTCATCACCAAACTACAAAATTTCTGTTCAAAGAATAGAAAAAATAATTAAAAAGTTCCTTACAAACTTCAATTCATATATTTATACGCTTCTATTACTAACGACTCTTCCATTAATAATGTTTTAATGATAGATAAAGATATTAAAAAATAGCGAATATTTTGACTATGTACTGAAAGATATAGAAATATAACAGTTGCTCTGCTAATTGCCACATAACAATGAGAAACCAAAAATAAAGAATTCAAAAAAAGACTTACTGCTTTTCCTTCCTTTTCTGCTTGGCTATCTGTAAGAATAGCACCAGCGTAAGTGCATAAGAAAACGCCTGCTGGAATATCAATCATCGATCGAATACCCCAACCCATTTTTTCTGTTTTAAACAACTGTAAAAATAAGTATGGGTAGTGGAATTAAAACTAAAACAACCAACTAAAAGGAAAATTCTCGAAGATTGGAACAAATAAGACATTTTGTAATCTCATTCTGCAATACCTTGATTATACTTTTCGTCTTGTTAAATCTGTTTATAATTGTGTATCTTTAAAAACACTTTATCTATCTTTCTCAACTGATCTTTTTTCAATTGATTCCCCAACTTTTTTATCAAGTATACATTATTTTTCTCACTGAAAGTAACATATATTACAGCCACTTACATTCTCTCAGATCGTTAACAAAGAGAAAGTTATATCTTATTTGTTTAGTAATTACAGTCGATAACGAAATGCTGATCAAGCTGTATTATAAAACTCTGAATATTACAATCCAATAGCTAATAATTATTTTGAGCTAAATTAATAGATAACCGGCGGAATAACCTCAACAGGAATTTTCATTTGTTGTTGCACCACTCGATTATGACATTTACTCCGACTGCATCTACACTTGTCATTACATTCATATAAACCAGATAAATATGACTCATCGGTACCTCCAAGTGCCAAATTACGATACCTAAAAAAAACTTTTAACTTCATTGTTTAATTTAACCGTAAATTTTTACGATAGCAGGTATTACAACAAAAACATTTATAATTTTTAAAGTCCAAATAGATGTTTCAAAAAAAGCGTATAAAGTGATATTTTGTAAAATGAATTGAAATTTACACTGGCATTAAAAATAAACAGTAAAATGAAGACTGAACGGTTATCAGAGTTTTACAAAAAAAAAATTAAAATAGTAGTACTTTTTTTCATATAGAAAAACTCACATATATCCTTTGGCATGTGAAGGCTGAAGACTTTTATCCAGACGTAATACTTCTGAACGGGTTAATAAACGGCATTCACACCTGGTCTCATCAACACAATCATCTAGTTAAAAAAAAGTAATGGAAATTTCCATGAAATTCAAATCATGACAGTTAGAGGCACTTTTCTTATGATGAAAAATTTTTCATCCATTTATCAAAAAAACACACTACAAAATACCAACCAGTACAAGTGCAACCGCTGCAAAAATCAAGTGATATAGATGATATGTCTGTCGACCTATCGTATGGATATCGTTGTGGATTATATTCAATCTGGAAAAAATTGGAATATCAAATATACCTCTAAAACTATACAAGCTTTAATATCTAAAAAAAGAAAATGATAAAAAATCACGCACACAGTGGGAAAGATATACATTCAAAAATTATGAATGTAGTAGATCTTCTCCTCACTGATGACTTAATTTTACATGAAGATGGAATCAACGAGAATGAAAGTGAAAGAAGTAGGTAGTTGAGTTGACAAGATTCATTTCGCTGAAATTAAAAACAAAAAAAAAAATTTACTTTTGGTGGTAAATCATCATCAATTTCATTATAAACAGGAATTGGGATGGCTTCACAACCATTCGTGAAGTCATCCATTAGTTTAGCTTTAACGGGTGTTCGATAAATTACATTCGGACGAATTGTTCGATCAAATGTGAACAAATCAATGGTTAAGCGACTAGATGTATCCTTAAAAAAAAAAGGAAAATCTGACCTTCAAACAAATAAATTTTACACATTAATATTTCATAAAAATGTGAAACTCTGCAATGATAAGAAAAATCATACTTTCAAATATTTCGTAATGTGATCCAGTTTATAAATAGAGATTCCACATGGTGTACGATAAACCACAGCTGAACCAGTCGCTTGACGATTGTGGGCTACTTTAACCTTTCTCGTGAACGTTACAATCTAAGAATAAGATTTAAAAGTGATTTGAAATGAATTTACTAATATTCGCGAAATACTCGAGAAATTTCTGACCTTAAGTTTCAAAAAAAAAAAAAAAAAAAATGAATTTTTCAAACAAGGATATAAAAAAGAAAAAGTAATATTTTAAATTTCTTTTAATTTTGCTTTTCCAAATTTTGTTTATTCAAATATGAAAATTCTGAGGCTAAAAGTAGACAACACCTACCTCACGTGACCAACCCACCAATAGAGGAATCATGTAAGGAGAATATCCATAAAATTCTTTATCATATGGATCTCTGTCAAGACACTGTAAACATTTAATCGTACATCGCGAGTGAACGACTTGTTGCAAATTATTCCATTCAGGTATATCTTGTATTATAAGGTTCTTCTGCAACAAAAGAATATATTTTAAATCGGAATAAATTATATATCTGAGATCGATTTTCGAAAATAAGATGCATTTTTTGAAATCACTTTACATATACACATATATATTTAAAAAACTATTTCCATGGTCCATTAAAATAAATTAAATAATTGTATGCCTCTTTGCGTAAGCGAGGTAATCTTCCTTCAGTAATTGGATAATCTTGACAATCATTCTGCACGACTGATATTCCTCCTTTTCGAGCTGTCTGAGGTCTCGGATAATTCTGAAAGAAAAAAAAAATCTAAATTTTAAAAACACAATAACATGAAATTAACAATTACTACTCTTACCGGTTCATTGTCACTCAATAAAGCTCGACCACGTGGACAAAGATCCATCTCCTTACTGAAAATACTATAATGTTTTAGAAAATGAAAAGCACTTTTACAGCAACTATAAGAGTAAAAATATAATGAAAGAAGTAATTCACTTCATTTTATATGGGAAAGATCGTAATTTATTTTAGTTCCGTTCAATAAACCTTCCAATCTTCAAACCTTAAATTCTTATTTGAGCTACTTTGTTCAGGTAGTGAAACTGTATATTCCAAATTATGAGCCAATCGTGCTTCCCGTCTGGAACGCAGTGGAGCCATCGAAATTCCCATCTGTTCCTGTTGCTCGATTTTCTCCAGTCTCTAGATATATGAAATAACTGTAATCGTTAATTTGTACACCACTACGACAACTAGCAATTTTCAAATCTTACTAAAATTCTTCAAAGCACTTCTAATTCTACAAATTATTTAAAACTACATCAATTGTTTGACGGATTGCTTCTAATCTTTCTGAGCCGCGATAAATCCATTCATCTATATGATTATGACGATTGCATGGAGTTACCACACAGTCTGAACCACATTTGCCACGAATTGGAAAACGCAATAATGCAAATTGCCTTTCGGTTCGCAAAACATATGCAGAATGGGGTTTACCTTCCCTAAGAATCTGTAAGCAATATTTTTCAGAGTTCTAAATTAAACATCGAAGTTGTTTCAGTTTTCTTTTTTTTTTCCTGGGTTTTGAAAAGAAAATGCTTTTCAAAAGCATTTCTCAGTGGATATTTTTCTTTCTTTTTGAAAAGAAAGAAAAACATTTTCCATACAGGAAAATTTCGTTTGGATATTTTTTTGCTAATACACAAATGAATAATGACAGGCAAATTAATACGCTTACGTTTACACGCTGCGTATTTTCCTTACGCTTCATCGGAACAAGTGGCCAATCCGGAAAACTCTTCAAATAGTGTTTAACAAACTTTTGTCGAAATTGTGGTACTAGGCACCAATTGTTGCGACGATCTATTTCCTGTAAAAATTACTATTTATTTCATGTTGCTTAAAATGAATAAAATCTATGATAATATATATGAGGAGTGTACAGGAAATTAGCTAAACAAATGTGTTAACCTGCACGATGCAAATTAAATAAAAATTGCACATGGAGAATTAGCTTGCCACTTCTTAATGAAAACTCACTTCTTTGCCATTGTAAAGCTTACACTTCTGTTCTGCAAGAATATAGACTGTGCGTTCATGAACGAAACTGTCAATGCCATTATCAAAAAATACCTGCAAGACACAACAGAATGACTTGAGAAATAGCTTTTAAAAAGGGTGAAAATTTAGCTTTTATGATTTAAATTGTCTTTACAATTTCTTTACATAAAATCTTACCAACATTTCATTTTGTGAAAATCCATGAGGTCCTACACCCACTATTCCCGAATAAAATGCCTTCCGATATCGACTAAACCGAAGTCTGAAAATGGCAATATTTCATGAAATACATTTTAATTTGAAATAATGGAATAAGTCAGTTTAGAATTGAAAAGCAGAAAATTACTTTGGCTCATATAAAGCACATACGCGTACACCTTCCCACATATGTAAAGGATCGTCAATTTTACGTGCAATACGTGATATATCAACTATTTCCTCATTACCGTCACCAAACAATACGTTGTATTCACGAGGAGACACCTGAAATGATTGTTACATACAACTGAAGTTTAAACATTCAAATTCAAAGAAAAGTTGAAATCATAATAACGAAGCAGCTTACCATTATTAATTGTTGAAATGACTATTAAAATAAATCCATTTATGTTACAAATTAGTGGCGACAGCTATTCAACCGATTAAAAAACAGGTTAATTAAACCCATCAAGCATTTCAATATAATACAAACCTTTACCTTTTCAACGACTTGGCAACGAACAAAATTATATGCTTTTTGCTGACGAGCTAAACAAAAAGACCCGTTCGGAATATCACTGATATTGACAAAGTCACTGGTAAAGACGTAATTTCTTCCTATACTTTCATTGTGAGTCACGTTGACAACACTAACTTCTTCACTAGTTGCAGCCTGAAACCAATTCTAGAATTTTTTATATGACGAATTTTATTGTCACACAAAAATTTGATTACAACCAGAAATCAATAACGAAGCAAAAAATAATTAATTCATGCTGGTGCCACTTTTAATATTGACTCTCTTACCCAAAATAGTATTCCTCATAGCAAATATATATTCCTTCTTCACTAAACCATATCTACAGTACATATCTAATAATTTCACGATTTGACGACTAAATACATTACAATAACAAGCAAAAAGCCATCAAATTAAATTAAAAGTCATAGAATTTAAAATACTAAGGAAAAAAAGAAAAAAATCCAATCAAACTCACCGGAACATTCTGATTATTCTTTTGCGAAACCATCATCGATTTTTCCGCCATATTTTCACGCTGCTCATTAGCTAACAGTTGTTTTTCACTTTGTGCAGACGAATTCTGCTGCAAAGTCTTATTTCTTTGTACAAACAAGAATAAATCTATATAATAAATTAGAAATATGAAGTCAAAAAAGTTTGCGCAACAATTCATAGAGCCAGAAAAATTTTCAAATAATGGGCTTCATTTCAAATATTATTATTAAAATAGACTTCTTGTTGACTAAAATCAAATAAAATGTACAAGTAAAAGTTTCATCATGTCAGTCGTTGTTAAAGCCTCAAGTGTTCACAGTAAGAACTTTTGTTTCTAACAGATATGTTAGAAGAAACAAAACAAAAAACAGATTATTTATTGAAGTACTGTAATTAGAAGAGTAAAACATTTCATTCTCACTATTAGTACTAGTATGATTACTATCCTTAATATTATTATTTTTTGAAAAATAATTTTCAAAAAAAAAACTACTTTACCAATTCAGTGAGAAGATTGCTAGTATATTTTGTCAATTCGTTTGACATCATCACTAAATCATTAGCACAATCATCATTTACACATCGGCTGAAATTGGCTCAAAATATTACAAAAGTGACAAAAAAATAAAAAAAAAAGAAAAAAAAGTGAAGAGATCAAAAAGTTTTTACTTTCATTTTTGATAATTTTTGATGTTTAGAAAAATTAATGAATACCCGGTTTTTCGAATATAAAAAGTCTTGAGAGACTAATGGAAAAGATCAGACTGTCTTTCAAATCATAACTGTTATGACTATCGCATTCAGTACGGTTGCCATGTTCAATAAACAAACAGTTCTGGTTCATATGAGATAAAAGAATAGCTAGAAAAATAAAATTTATCCGACCGTGGTGGACTTGTACAGGCATTTTTGAAATCTTCCAATACTTCGCGTACGACAGTTACAAAATCATCCATAGATTGTATGGCTTCTTCATCCGATGGTACAAACGATGTTTCAATCTAAAAGAAAAAATTTATGACAAAAAGAGGGAAAAAAAACTTGAATTTGGATTTGTCGGTGTTAATTATCTTTGAAATTTACATCAATCAAAACCACCAAGACCTTATCATACTTATTTTTGATATTATGGAACTGTATTCAGCTTTTCAGTATTTCTGATTCTGAAATTATCACTTTGCTAAACCAAGATTCAAAAGATGTGGTGATTTCAAATTAAGCTTAGTGAATTATTTTCAGCTGTACCAGAAAACTGACATATTTCCAGTTCTGACTGAAGTCTTCAGCAACAGGCCAACCATACATTTGCGCCAATAACATTGTCAACATCACAATTACTTCAACTGGATCAGAAAGAATTTTCTGAAAAATAAGAAGTTTTGACAGTGATTAATAACTATTCAGCAAACAGTGACAAATAAAACAGTAATTATAAATGATCGGTATAAATCATTATAGTAAGAGCAGCAATAAATATAAATATAATAAGGAAAATAAAAGCCGCAAAAATAATTAAAGCATTACTGAAACATATCAATTCATTATTATTTACTGAAACTTACAATAGCTATTTCTGAAGGTGCTAAAGTAACATTACTATTTATCAAACTGCCGAGAATAAGCATTTGAGCGCGGTCAACACCAATGTAACCAGCAACCCGAGATATACTGTACTTCTCCACTGTTTTATCACGTTCTAAAACTTACCTCCTTTAAAGTTCGACAGTGATTGACATACGAGTTTACGAAGCTTAGAAGATATGTATAAAAATGAAACCTGTATTTTTTGAAGTTATTTTAGGAGAACAGGAGAAACTGAATAACCAGTACATGACAATAATTAATACAAGTGACAATGCGTATCAAGTTTTTCTTTTTTTAAATATATTATCAAACCGGCACACGGAGAATTCACAGAGCACTTTTTAAATGATATTTTAGAGACGATGGAAAAAACATTTAACCTTTCCAAATATGATCTGTTAAAAGAACAATAAAATCGAATGTTGATATGTTCATTTTAGCAGCGCCTTCTTTTATTCCTAATTTATCATTATGAAATGCAGTGATAGCTTTGGAGATCTTTTCTTCATCGAAATCAAGAGTGATCTAGAATTAAATATTCAGTTATATTTCAGTTATTCAATGGTGTAAAAATGAATTAACACCAAGGACCAAAAGTCCAAGCTATCAACAAACTGAAACATATACTAAATAATATATATATATAATTTTTTACAAAAATATATTAAAAAATAATACGTTGACTGTTGTAAATCGGTCTCAAAAATTAACTTTTTCTTGAATATGATCAAAGAAATCAATGTCTAATGTTGAAAACCCATAAACAGTTCTCCGTATTTTATATTCTGGTCCGCTGTAGCGAAATGTTTTATATAGATTACACATCCTCTCCTCACATCTGAAAAGATAATGAAATTATCATTTCAGTATTTGCTGTAATCCGAATTCAGTCAATATGGTTTGAATAATATGACACAGAAATCTTTAGCAAATATGAATTTGTAATGCGTTAGATTCTGCGTATTGCAACATTAATTAAAATGGATATGATCTTAATTTAAAATAAGACTTTGAAGCATGCGATCTATATTCTTACTAATTACGGCAAAATATTAAAGAAAAACATAATTCTTTTAGCTTAAAAGTGTAATATCAAGAAAACTTAGATAAAAAGTATAGCAAAAAACCTACAACATTTTTCTTTCATTACTTAACAGACTCAAATCACGGCTGTCAAACACAGCAATTTCATCTGAATCATCCGATGATGTTTCATCTACCAGAAAAATATTTGCATCAATGTCGACGTCAACACTCTTCTCCTAAAGCAAAATAATTTTTCAAAAAATGAAAATCCATTATTTCTGCTACTTGAATAAAAACCATTTTAGCCAAAATCCATGCTCCCCAATTTTTTTTTGAGACAAGATAGTGCAATTCCGACCAATATGTATAAAAGAATGTCTATGTGACATGTGACACGCCAAACATGATACCATTTGACTAATAGATTTGACTATTACTGAAAACTGTCATTGAAAATTTGATATTGTAACGATACTATTAACAAACTCTATGATTCGCAGCTCCAGGCAGACTGACAGCACCAGTAAGCTCATCATCTACTTCCATTCTAATTTGTAAAACAGATCATTCTGAAAGTAAAAGTAAGAGCTCAATACAAGATTCTGCTTTGAAACTGAAACTTAACTGGAATGTATTCTAACAATATAACTAACCGTAACCCAAAGCAGCACGAGTCTCAGAGCTACCTCCCTAGAAAATGAAAAATAAAAAGAAAGAAAAAGATGGGTAATTTATAGCCTTGCAAAATTTCTCACTTGATAAACCTCCTTAACCCTAATTTCCAGCCCTCTCTTCATTCCGAATGACCTTTTGTTTGGTCTAATTCGAAATAAGATCTAATGAGATAACTTTTTTTTTGATACTCACATAATACAAAGTGAGAAAGCAAAGTTTTATTTCCATATCATAGGACTGCAGTAAAGATGAATCATTTTTAAAATTACAAAACCTACCGACTCATTTTTCAATAAATAGTCACTGAAAAAAAAATTCAAATAATTCTGGATTTCAGTTACTGATATAAAAAACGCCTCTGACAGATTTCATTAACCACAAATATGGCACACTGAAAAAATTTTGGAAGACGGTAGATAAAAAGAGGTAAACTTACATGGGAATTAGCGTAAGATACATTTTTCATAAAAACATTGCAAAAATAACAAGCACAAGTTTTCCATTCTACAACAAACAAATTACCCAGTACCCGTATTAGTAAATCAATATTAACTGATATCAGATAGAAACTGAGATGTGACAAAGATATATGAACTTTAGGGCACTAACAGATAATCAAAGTCGGATGCGAAAATAATAAAATCTTAACAATCTCAAACTCTTTCCTGCAAATATTATCATTCATACTTTTTTTTTTCGTATTTTTAACATAAGAGCCCTGAAGAAACCGCGATTTCCGGTACTTTCTTCAACAGCTTCAAATGGTAAAACGCCGTCTCGGAATTTATCTAAACTTGGCTTCTTTTTATCCTGAAAAAATTTGCTCGTGGCTTCATAATACATACAAGAAAGAATCCCAACATTCGAAACTTCGCAATAAAAATTACATGCTCTAGTCGACGAGCTACAGGCGTTCCAAACGAAATTTTATCATCGCTACTACCAACTAACAGCGAAACTTCAGTAAAAGACGTCGAAGCATCAAGGTCAATAATCGATGTGTTATGTTTCTGCAAATCCATATTTTATTGTGGCAATTCCTTTACTTAACTATAAATCCTGAAGTTTGCAAGCAAATGTTAAATTACTATGAGCAGTATCCACATCATGTTAAAAATCCGAATGTGGATACTGCTCACAGATGCTTAAATAATGTTTAACACTGCGAATTAAATTTTCAAAGTGAAAAGTTTACTATATTCTGTTCTAATGCAGTCTGTTCTGATGATCGCGTAGACATTTCCACATTTTCGTCTGGTTTATCACTAACCAAAATAACGCTGTCATCCGAGTCTTAAAACTTTAGGTAATAATTGTTTAGAATGAAAATAAATCCAAATAACTGAAGAAGTCATAATTAAAAAGAGAGAAAAAAGACTGAAAGTCATGCCGTTTCTTAATCGCTTATGACCACTTTTCTGCTCATTCTTATAATTGCTCCGTTTCCTATTTCTTTCATGGCTATCATTAAATAATCGTTGCTGCAATAAAAAATAAAGTTAGGATCCAAACACTTCAACTGATAACTTTGACCATTTCATTTCTGCTTAAAAAAATGAAGTAAAGCGCAGTATTTACCGCATGTATTTCCTTGGCATATTCCTGAAGGTACCGAACGTATTCATCAAACCTAGGTACTCGAAAACGTTCACGCTGTAAAAAAAATCTTACTTTCAATAATTTAGTCTTTAATAATTGTTACAGTCATGAATAATCCCGTTTAGTCTAGAAAAATAAAAGAATACTCTAAGATAGTATTATACGAAAATGAATCTTCACTAAAGAAAAGTAAATTAAACAAGGCGTACATCTCTAAGATATCGATTATAATAGTTAAAACCGGGATAAGCAATCACTTTATCCGCAGAAACCGTAAGTCGTTTCCGTTTCTTATCTTTTCCTGAAAACATAAATAAAAAAACTATAAATTGGCTCAAAATTACAGTGGTTGAAAATTCTAGTATTTTTTATCATCAGCAGACCCAAGTGAAATAAGCACCTCGCACAATGCGTGGAGTTCCCAATGTTTTATCATCAGTGTGAAATTCCAACAACGCTTCCTCACTAGAACTTTGATCAAGAGCCTAAAAATATACATCCTTTCTTCAGGAACTACAGACCTTATCAACGTATTTTAGTAATGTATAACATAATTATACTTATGTTAATATGTTCTTGAACCTCTTAATATCTACTAGCTTCAAGATACACTAACTTTATCAACTATAATGTAATAAGAAAATTATTGAAAACAGCTTAAAATATGCAAATTTAACTACCTCCGCCAAATATCCTGGTGGATAGCCATCAATGAAACCTTTTCGACGCATTCGATAAATCCATTCTGGAATATCGTTTGGTCCTATGCCCAAAGCTTCACGCAATGCATCACTAATTTCTCCAGGCCTAAACATTTACTTATTCAATTAAGAATTTTTTAAGAAAAATTTTTAAATGAAACAAAATCATTACGTTCACGCGTTAAACGTTTATCATTAAAACGAAACATTTCCAATTTACCTCATATTACACGTGCTTGTTGATCCAGCATCACCCGCTGTAGTATAACGTTCCTGAGTTGAACGTTTATTATTAAAATGAGCAGCACGATTGACAGCGATTCTCCGCTGATTTAAGGGAATATCACATTGCTGTATCGTATGTTCACCACCACAGTTGAAGCAACTTATTTTGAACACACTGAAATTTCAAAAAAACTTCCGTCTCATAAAGAAATTAAAAAAGATCAATACAAACATAAAATAATTATTTGCAAACATGACATGAGACATAATGAATGGTGAGTGAATATTTCATCAACCTGGTAATTTAGTTTTAAAAAGCTTATAAGCTTATACTCCTTATAAACAAATAAGTTTAAATTATACAACTTTAAACCGTAAAGATAATCGATGAAGCGCAAACCAGTAATATGTATGCTAAAAAAGAACCTTTCTTTCTTTTCCTCCGATGGCGATGGAAGAACAGCATCATTCGTCAGAATTCTAGTCACATCAAAAACTTCGTCTTTTCCTTTTGTCTTCGAACTTTTTAGCAAAACTTTACGTCCTTCTTTTTTTGAACCATATCCTTCTGCTGTGTCCTCAGTAAGACTTTTTTTCACTTCTTCCATCTCAACAATTTCTGCTCCTTCAGTATCCAGAACGAATAATTCACGATCATCGCTATTGCCATCATCATCAGACACCTGAAATTGTAAATTTCAAAAGTAAATCACCAAGATACTAAAAGCAAAATGCAAATCAGTAGGTAAACATAACATATTTACAAACTCGGAAGAGTGATGCTAATGAAACTAAGGTTGAACATTATGATAGCTTACCACTTCGATATCTCCATCCTGATCTTCTACCAAATCTATTAGCTCAATCACGGATTCATTCTTCCGAAACTTCGCATTTTCATGCCTACAAGATATCAGTGTTTCACCGAACAAATCCATGTGACTATTTCAATTCCAGTACACACAGGCGATGATTTTATATCGCAAAAATATGATAGCTAGACGTGTGTGTATTGTAATAACTACTACAACTTAAATACCATGTGACTTTTCGCATTTGAATGAAAACTCAGACGGATCTAAACAATAAGTTCGATGCATCACAACTGAAGACACAGTTTAGCCAGATAAGTAGTAACATGGTATAATAAGCCATGATAAGCACTTCAGTAATTAAATTCAACATAAAATGGCCAGAACGAAAGTACTAGGAAGTGATTTCATGATATTACAATGTGATATTGGCAAAAATATAAGAAACAAAGGAAATGAATAAAAAAGTGGAAATATTAGAATACACTATCTTACATAAGGTAAACACGAAGGAATAAAAATTTTTCACAAAAATACCTTTGCATTCTCCACTTGGACGCCCTTCTGGCATATATGTGAGCATTCTCTGATCTCGGTGATGGCGTACGTGAACATTCACCTGGTTCACGTTCATCACGAATATCCATCCTTTGAATTCACTAAAATCAATATTAAAATGAAACAAAAAAAGGAAAAACTCAAAGACAAACAACTCAAACAATAATTACAAATGCGCATCATAGCATTAAATTAGCGCATGGAACGCCCTTTATAGAACCCAAAAAACAAACCACCGTCTGCAAGCATTCTGCTCAAGACCAACTACATAATTGGTATGCAATTTTCAATAAAATTTTCAATTTCAATAAAATTTTCAATTTTTTAATTTTTTTCAAACTTAATTATTTACGATTTTCTCGTATATAATTGACGAAAGAAAGTCTAAAAAGTAACTTATCGCTTCGTTTTCTTTTTGTCATTCTTTTTTTTTGCACTTATCTTTGAATTTAGATGAATTTTTTTGTTTTATTTCATTAGTAATTTCGAGCATTTATATTGCTAACGATTTTGAGCTCATGCAATTAGTTAGTGAAGTTTAATTTACAGTATAATTGTATTCTATTATAATTCGACATTAATTTAAATTTTGAAATTAAGGCGGTCTATTTAAATAATCATGCTATATCTCATATATGTATACACTTTTGGTCTGAAAGTATGATTTTATGTCTTTTATAGTTCAGTAAGCTTAAAAATTATTTCTAAATTACGCTGCATTTATTCTTTTTGAAATATGAAGCATTTTAGAATTGTTGTGTAGTGATTATTACTGTTGCTTATGTAGTTATCATTGAGCAATTATTGTACTGATGACGGATAAATCTAAATTTACAGCTAGAGTTTTCTTAAATGGAATAAATTTTAAAAAAATATGTAATAATTAAATCGAATTGTTTCCAACATTGATTTTCTTCTTTAATGGAAAATCACTTGTAATATATGCTACAGATTAGTTTTGATGATTACCTCACGATGGATACAGTATTTGATTCTGTAGTTTTTATTCCAGTTCATACTCCAGAATCCTCTCCACTGAATGTAAACAATGGTAGTTAGAGTAGATTGACTGTTGAACGGTAGATTATTTGGGTTGGTTTCTCTTTTGTTTTGCTTTGTTTAAAAAGTTGAAATACTAATTCTGAAGGTTTTTATAAATGGTTCGGGTTATAATAATTTCTTACCTTCATTTATTAGGTTTAAAATGTCTTTCTGATCGTCGCATTTAAACGTATTTATATTTTTCTTGTTATTTCTTCAGTGTTGAAAACGTCGAATCCATTTTGTATTTGTAATTTCGAGATATTTGAATATAATGATATAGCTCGAGGCATTTCTGGTGCTGTTAATGGGTTTCTTCTTTGGTCAGCATTTGGTCCAACGGTGTCACATTCATTCTTTTCATTTATTTGGGAAAAGTTTCTAGTTCTTTTATAGTTGCAGATATCTCGGCTCGTGACACCAAAAAATTATGTAGTGAATTTTATTTCGGTTTGAAAAGCATTGCTTTGGTACAGTCGATTTTCTTTTTTGAAGAACTTTTATTACTCGTTAGTTCTGCCGTAGCACCGAAATACTTCGAATTAAATTTTATTGAGAGTATAACTTGGCAAGAAGTAATTGTTAAGGTTGAAAGAGTCGTGAAGCAAAATTTGTAGTAACTATTCTTTCCTCAAATATTAACATGTATTAAAATTTACAATAATAATAATTACAATAATAAAATTTACAATAATACAGTAATTTACAATAATTAGTAAATCTTTTCAGATCAGGAATATTTGTATGTGTAATACCTCAGCTATTTCAGTCATTGAAAAAGGATGGAAAATTAGTTAGATCACAAAAAAAGCATGAGAAAGTGACTGAGTAAGGAATGAGGAATTGGTTAAATGACTTATAATATTACTTATATTAAGATTATTTAGATAGTATTTAGACGAAATTATTTTATTCCTTTATATTAATTTGAACTCTACGAATTTTTAGGAATAGAAATTTGTGATCGGCCGACTTGATTTCAGTGAGAAGCATTCTTTTCTTAGATTATCACTCACTTATTGCTAACATTTCTAGTCTCAGCGATTCCAGCAATTCACATACTCTTTCCTCAACCATTGTGACAAAACATTGCAATCGATTCTCTGATCGATCGAATGAATACGATATTTTTCCATTAAGTACAATTTTAAACGGTATGGCAAAGCAAAAATGTAAGAAAGAGAGTAAAGTGGCGGATATTGTTCAATTGCAACTTTTATAAAATGCTGAGAATGTTAATGGCGCATTTTTGATAGACTTTTTGGAAGCAATGATTTATTGGTTGGTATTGTAGGTGTGATCGGAAGGAAGAAACTTCACTTTCTTCAAATTTATTATCGTTTTGTAAATGATTTAATAATTAGAATGGAAAAGTTAGTGAAGAAAAAGAAGTAGAAATAAGAGAGAAAGAGAAAAAATAAATTTAATTAGTTGAAATTTCAGAATACTTCAGGTACCTTAACTTAATAGCAAGTTAAAGAAACCTAAAGGTTTGTTATTATTAGAAGCAATGTTTAACTTATAGCAAAGAAAATGAATTAAATTAAATAAATTTCAGATTAATTTGCTACAATTCGATTTAATATCAATGTGTGTGTGTGTGTGTGTGTGTGTTTGTGTATTCAAATTCTTCACTAGCGAGAATGAAGAAATTAAAGAAATCGGCACCATAACATAACTTTAAAGAAATCCTTTTTCGTCCTTTTTCGATTTCGCTTCTGAGAATTATGCTAAATTTGTTGTGAAAAAATACCCAATCTCAGACGAATAAATCAACTTTTTAGAGTTCATTTAATGTATTTTGGGAATATCAAAAGGAGCGACAGCTGTAGTACTTTAGGTAATCTTCTGCTCCTGCATTTTGGACTTTTTGGAAATGATTAATTAGCTATTAATGAGCAGAAACTGAACTTATCATTCACTGTTGTCCTCTGTGAAATGATGATTCCTAGGATTAACAGGAAATGTTAATTTGAAATGAAATTGTTATTTGTGTGCAAATTCTGTCACATAAGAATAGATCCTTGAAATAATTATCTAAAAAAAAGTGACTTACTTGCTCAAACAATAAAAGAATTGATGAGATTTAAAATACAAAATTTTACCAATAGGTTTTGAAAGTATAATAAGTGGATATTTGTCATGGTTAAGAGAAGCTTCTTATCATTTTCATAATCACGAATTACATAACTCTGAATATATAATTTCATTGCTACAGTGATATATGTAATTCAAACACTATCACATTACATATTTGAAGCAGATAAAAATATCATTTCTAACAAATTTTATCATCTTGGTGATCATTTTACTAGATAAATCCAAAGCGTTACGAATAGCAATAAATAAAATTCATTATTAAGTGATCAATTACTTCCATAACCTATGTAATGCATACATGATAACAAATCTGAATAGCATTAATGGTAAAACAAACCAGAAGTGTCAATAAGGATCTTCTGAAAATTCAGTGCTTGGTTTCATATCTATCCCTTTTTGAATTATGCAATTCAAAGATCAAGATTCCATAAAATTTAAAGACACTAACTGCAAATGCAAATTTTGATTTTCAATTTGTTTCACCACTTATCAACACTATCACTTTATTACACTATTCAGTGTAATTTATTATATCGCCATTAAAAGCACGCCACCTACGAGATTCATTTTCCTCTTTTCCACATCCTTCCTTAAAAATGGACGTGAAGTATAAATGGTACTGGTATAAACAATAATTTTAAGTGAAAATTTAATTATAATTTATTTTGTGCTTTTAATTATTTCTGTATTTTTCAAGATTAAATAAGTACCGGAAAGCTTTTATTTTGTGAAATATCAATAGCACATGTGAAATAAACATCATCAGGTCCAGGAAATTTAAAGGCGCTGACCCAGAAATAATAGTAGGTTTGCTCTGCGCTTTTCATCCGAATCATTTGTCCGGTTAATTTCGGTTGCACTGTGCACCTGAACTTGCATTTTATAATAAAATGTCAAATAATTAACATTCATTATCTTGTATCTTTTCAGATTCTAAAAAGGTTCACTGTGGATTGATTTTATAGCTTCTATTTAAATTGAAAATTAAAAAAAAAATACCCAAACTGATCAATAAGCAGAAGTTTTTCTAAGCCTTGCTTATCACTAGCGTAACAGGAATGAACAAAGAAGTTGTAGGTATCACTTTCTGAAAAATTCGTTTTTCTATCTTCAAATATCTCTATATTATAACTAAATGATTACTAATAAATGAACTAGTCTGACTTAAAAAAATATGTTGATAAATACAAAATTGATTAATTTCTTCGTGATTCTGTCGAACATATTACAAAGAATTATTTTAGAAATTTAGTAAATGATTTCAAATTTATAATTTAAAGTATTATACCTGAATTATGTGACCTGCTTCGTATTACCAATGAAATATTTTCACCGATTTGAACAGGACCATTTATTTTACTTCCAAAAGGTATTTCATTAGTATGTCTTATTTCCATGTATACTGGCGTATTAGCAGTTATTGGTTTTTGATTTGGTAATTGTGTAGCATATATCCGAACTGATTCCAATCTTCTTTTCCTTTAGTATTTCTTTCTTTCATCTATTTTTTCTACTCTTTTTTTTTTTTTGAAAAAGTTGATTAATTAATTTTGTTCCCTAAATATCCCGCCCGCTCTTCAGGATTTTCTTTTTTATAAGAAAACCATAGATGCGAACCATTTGGAAGTCGAATTTGATCGAAATTTTGTATCCATTGCTATTGTTGTTGAAATATTTGCATCAATTTTTGGAGTTGTTTTATTTGAAAATTTAGGCCAAAGTCTTATTACCTCTAGAACTTTCATTAAAATATTGGGATTTTTACTAGATGCAATATTAATATTAGTGCTGGTAGAAGCAGTGATTGATGATGTGTTAATTAACAATGTCTCTTCAGTTGTCGATAATAATTCGAGTGAGCCGTTTTGAAAATTTTCCTCAGAATTAGCAAACATGATGTCAGGAAGTGGCTCATTGGGAGTTAAATTTGAATCAATAGGCCAGTTGCCCCAGTTGTTTTCAAGATCAAATTCAGATTTCATCTTTTGCTCGGAAAAACCATATTCTGGAATCTTTTTCCATAAATTCGTTTGATTCGTTACCTTAAATTACACTTTTTAAATGAAACAACATTTTTTCAAAATATAAAAGACTCATTTTTAAACCGCCCAAAAGTTTGACATTTCAACAATTTAAACAATGTTTTTTTTTTTTTTAAAAAAAAAATTATATTAGGTTTAAGTGTTCAAAACATCACGGCGATATAAAATCGAGAAATAAAATTAAAAAATATAATTTCCAAATCAAGATATTACTTTTTAATTTAATCTCACATTTCATTTAAAATAATGATGGAAGCTGGAAAAAATTTAAGCAAACATACCAGTAGTGAAGTTTTTCCATCCTGAGTTTGGATTAAAGGTATACCTACTTGAGGTACCAATTGACAAGTAAGTAGAAAATGATGATTAATGGATGCTTGAGATTGTTTCGCTTCCATTTGAATGCAAACAAGATTTTCGATTAAATCCACTATCTGAAATTTTGAAACATTTGACAACAATGATTTATGTTGAAATATGAAATCAAAAATCATTTAGCAAATGCTATAAGAATGAGTGCTTCGTATTTGAAAAAAATTAAAATAAAATTTCATTTTAATAATACACAATTGAAATGATAACATTTCTTGTATTCCTAGCTATTCTTGTACCACATTTATTTAACGGTATAGTAAATTCAATTGCAAGAATCGGCATATCACTTCTATTATGATAGATGCAATCCAGATTGGTAGAATATTCAGCAGAATATATTGTACCGTCAAAAAACCGATTGAATTTGATATTTGCAGTAATTCCATTTTCTGTACAAATAACATTAGCAGCTAAAATGATTGCTATTAGTATTTGCATATTTGAAGGTATAATGTAAATCATAATTCAATCATATTTTTTACATGCTTCAAAATGAATTAATGAAATATTAGAAGGAATTTATTTAGTTATTTTCCCTCCCCCCCTTCCCCCCTCCTCCACCCCTTCCCAAAAAAAAGCCGAATGCAAAATAAAGTATTAATGAATTAAATTATGCATAACGGACATATCATGATTGAATAATTATTAAATTGAAACAACTTACATTTCAGTAGTGGATGACTGGAAAAGACATCAGTAGTAGTGATGTCAAATATTATCAAATTAATGAAAAGTAATATTATCCACATTGTATTAGGAATTTGATTTAAAAATTTTGAATTAAAATTGCGTGGTTATTTTTTTATTTGCTATTTGCTTATTCTTGAATGATGGAAGTTTTAAATTTCCCCTGAAAATGTTATTGGATTTGTTTCTAAACTGATTTGAAGTTTTGATAGCACTAAGAGAATGAATCATGCAAGAATGTTTGTCCATTCGCCATTAAAAACATGAAAGAAAGTGATTATAACTGACCAAAAATCATTGTCACCTGTCCAAATCTGCATTTGTTGGTATTTAGCCTTATTTATACTACATGATCAGATGTAACTCTCGATGAATACAATAGATGTGATAATATTGTCTCGATTGAACTTTAGACGACAGATGACAAACACTCATTAAGTAATAGCGGAAGCACACTGACCTCAGTAATGATGATTGCAGTGATGACACCGTTGGCCAAATGTCACCACATCTAATAACAAAACTATTATCCTACATCCATTAAACTCCTTCTCTCTCTTTCTCTTTCCCTCTCTTTTTCTGTCTTTATTACTCTTCTTTTATACAATAAATAATTTTTGGAAAATGAAGGGAAATTAGTGAAATAGTTGACGAACTCTAATCAATTATATTAGTTTTAAATTTTATAAATTTAATTTCGACGTTATATTTTAATGTCATTTAACGGATATATTTAAAAAAAATACATACATAAAATTGAAATGCAAGATTAAAAATATGATATTAAATTAGATTCATGAAATTTTAAACTAAACTGAAATGATTGTTTTCATATAACTAATGTTATTAGACATGAAAAGCATGAATCATGAATAAGTAATTGACTAAATTGTCGCATTTACCCCATTTTAACAACTTACACAAAATCAGGAAGCCTGATTCCCTTACAATGTAAATATTTCATTTTGTTTTTCAAAAATAAATTTTATTTCACCGATTTAATCTGTTTTATGTAAATCAAAAAATTAATTATATTAAGCATCTAAATTTAATTGTTAAATTTTATTTGTGTAAAAATAAAATTATAAAATGTTTTAAGCAATGACTGAATCCATTTTATTTCTTATAAATCATTAAAAAAATAAAAAAAAAGACACGAATTTTCTCTTTTTTTTTTTGATTTGACAACAAATTTTATGCTATAGAAATTGACATATTATTATTCAATCAAAAATTTGTCATAAAAAAAGAAAAAAAGTAGATATTATTCATTTAATGTACATTTAATTTATGAATACTTGTTGATTTTCCACCTATTTGAATTGCATATTTCAGGCCCGCAATTTATTCAATTCTTTCTAAATTGCCTCAATAATTTTATGGCAAAACTATTAAATGTATTAAAGTTACACAGCAACTTGTTGAAGTTCAGATGTATCAAAAAGTTGCTTTAAAAAAAAAAAAAAAAATTAACATTTGGGTTACGATGGTAAATGCTTTTTAAATAAGGTAATAGTAAGTATTCCATCCGGACTGATTCTGGTTTCACTGCATTCCATCATTATATTATCCGGTATCACATAACGCCGTTCGAATTGCTTCTTTAAGTGTAAAATTGAAAAGTAAATTTCGGAAAGAAATAAAAATTTTATTGTTGAAAATAGTATAGCTTCAATTTATCGTACAATTTAAAATGATTTAATTTTCTTGTTAATTTAGAACTTAAAAAAAAAAGAAAATTTTTTTTCATGTTTATTCTAACAAAAAGTAGATGAATTGTCATCATTATTACAAACAAAATTTTGGTACATTTTATTTTTATTTATTGGAAATTGCTAAAATGAAGAAATTTCCTTACCTTGCCTTTGCTGTCAACATGTATTGCGCCAATTTTGAGTTCGTTACCTTCGGTATTCACCTAAAACTTTATTTGATTTTGAAGATGCCACAATGACTATAAGTAAATTAGAAATTAATAAGAAATTAATTAATACAAAACTAAATATGTCCTTCCTTATTTAATATGCTTAAAGATTTACTTTTCTTTTTGCACTTAGAAATATTAAATTTTCATTAATAATATTTTATACAATTAAACCGTTATTTCATTTGGTGCAAAATTTCGTGCATCAATTGATACGGAAAATTTTTCTGCATCATCGATTATCTAAATAAAATTTAATTAAATTTAACAAAGTAGACATTCAAATGGCTTAACTATTCAATCTTCAAAACATTTAATAAATGTAAAGTTGAAAGAAAAAATGTGAAACAATATAAAATTGAATTTAAATAATTAAATATCTATTAGTATCCATCAGACAACTGTGTTAATTCAAGTAAAAATTTATTAATTTATTATAAAATTATGAAATTTTTCTTCTAACAAATGCAAAAAATTTTTCTAAAATTTTACCTCACCCACTTGACTGCTGAGAAATTCTTCATTTTTGAATCGTAAAATTCCGCATGGCAAATAATTTGATGAAAGCCAACGATCAGTAAATATTGTTGGCATTGTACTACAAGATGAGGACACACGTCGTGACATCTTGATTACTCTTAATCTTAGTTATTTTGACTAATTTAATACTATTTTGTGATAATTAATTTTATTTCAAACATTTTGGAAAAAAGTATGTTTTCGTTTCAAATAATAAAGTTTTCGCAATTGAAAACTGTACGTAATGGGAAAGATAAAATGAAGCGGAAAAAAATAAAAACGTTTTCCGTTTTGCATTAAATTCTCATACAATGAATTTTTGAAAAAAGAAAAAAGATAAAATTTCTAATCCATTAATGAATAAAATAGAAACAATGCTAATGGTAAAAAAAAATTTGATCAGTGAGCACTTCAATTTCAGGAAAAGTTTATCAAAAAAAAATTTAATTGTTTTAAATTATCAGAAAAAAATTTTTCATCAAAAAAAAAAAAAAATTATTCGCTTTCCTCCTTTTCTTATTCTTTTCTTTTTTTTAAAAAATTACAATGCTATATTCATTGAACAATAAAATTAACAACAAAAAGCATAATGTAAAAAAAAAAATCTGATCGTTTTTCGAATAAAAGTCTTAAAATTTTAAGAAAGAATTCAAGAAAAAATAAAAATTAAGTTTAAAATTTTAGTAAAATTTTAAAATTACAAGTTTAAAAAGAAAAAAATTTCATTTGAAGCAAATAATTAACCAAGTTGATGGCACATTTTTTTCTAAACATATCAAATATCAATGATTCCTGGAATTATATGCAATATAAAATGGAAATATTACGGACAATTCATATTGAACAAATTAAAAGTGAGTTTTTAAATCGCTCAAACTATAATTATGGATGAATGTTTCTCTGAGTGATCCATCGCAGCGCAATTTGAATTCATCATTTGTCGCAGTATTGTTGACAGTATTTGAGAGCAAAACTTGATTCTCAATGGATGAAAGCCAAATTAACTTGAATTTAACATTGAATTAAAATTGGCTGCGAAATAAATCGATGGTTAAAGTTCGATTGCTGAGATTATAACTTTCAAGCAATTGTTATAAAACATTTGCAAATTGAATTAAATCGGAAAGTTTTATCATTTATATGTGGTAAATTTTATGATTTTCTCTCATAAACATTTTATATAGTCTCTAATATATATAATATAAATGAATGAGAAAATAATTTGTTCTAATAATTAAATCGAAATAAAAAATTTAATTATTAAAAATTTCGAGTAAATTTAATGTCCTTATTCATATTATTAGAACAACAACAACAACAACGACAACGACAACAATAGTAACAACAATAACAAAACAACAATAGCAGCAATAACAACAACAAATGGGCATCCAAGAGCGCAGCTCGAAAATAATAGTGCCTTTTCTTCCTCTCCATTACTCTTATCAATTAAATATGAGCTTAAAATCCGGTTTTCCATATTCGATATTAAATAATATTTACTAATATTCTTTTCAATGCATGCGAATGAATTTACCAATCAATATTTGTTGTTTAAATACATTTTCCAATTTGAACTTTATAGAAAATTTCAAATTTCAAATTTGCGATTTGTTTTGCTAGTGAAATCCATTACGTGAAGAATATAAGAAAATATATAAAATTTTGAAACTGAAATGTAATTTTTTTTTTTTTTTCTGAAATATATTTGTGATTATAGATATTTGAATTAGTTTGACTTTCAACTTTTAAATTTCTTAAAATATACTTCAAAAAAAAATTTCCTTCGGTTGCAATAGTTTGATTTCCAAACGTACTTTGTAATTTGTTAACTGATAAATTGATTAACTGATAATTGTATTTTCATTTTTTTTTTTTTTTTTTTTGCAATTTATTTTCATTGTGTGCAACAATTTACCCATGTTTTTAATTCATAAAACTTTCTCTCGTTATAAAGCAACATAACTTATTTGATTATTAACAATATCAATTCATTAGTATGTAATCGTAGCATCAATTTTTCATTGAAATAAATAAAATCCTAAAATTGAATTTCATTTGTTGAAATTTTCTATTAATAAAAATTTTCAATTTTGAAAAATTTAATAAAATTCTGACCATACAATAAAATTTTATACAACTTTTTTTCTCTTTTTTTTTTTTTTTTTATTTTTCAGTTTATTTGTTATACAAATATAGTAAATAAAATCAATGAATAAAGTTTTCGAATTAAAAATTTTTTGAAAGTTAACGGTTAACGAGATAATTATTCATCATTAAGATCGCCAGTTGGTGCATCAAACGTTGCAGAACGTTTCCCGAAGCGTATCATCATATCTGCTGGATTTGGTACACGTTTACCAATGTATGAATCACTTGGCTAAAATTTAAATTAATTAACCAATCAAATTATATTTTTATTTTTATTATTTTTAATTAAATTTATAAAAAAAATGATGTTTTTTTATAAATGAATTTTGAATGGAAATTTCAGTAACTCTTTCAAAAGAAAATCATAGAAGTATGATTAAATAAAAAATTATATTTTTGATAATATCAAATAATTTCACATGATCAGAATTATCTATTTTATTGAAATAAATTTTTTAGAAATTTTTTTTCCAGAAAAATTTAAAAATTTTTTTTTTTTACAAAAAAACACAAAATGAATTTCTAACATTGAAATAATATCGCATTGGTTCAAAGCCACCTCTGAATAAATCACTGTCTGAAAATAATTACTGCATCAATTTTATTTCAATAATTTTGATATATTCATTTCAAAATTTTATGAAAATCTATTGTTGTTTCTATGAAAAGCTACTTATATGACGATTAAATAAGGTAATATAATTAAGTGAATTCAAAAGAGGATTTTAGGAAAATGAAATCTCAAAGCACTTTATCTAATTAATGATTTTAAAACTTTAAGATTAAATTAAAGGATTTACCTACCAAATATTAATAGCAATAACCTTATTTTTTTTTTTTTAAAGGGCAAAATGACTTACCTTGTAATTGTTTAGAATCAGTGTTACAAAAATGGTTAATAACAAGCAAAACTGCTAAGATTAATACTTTAAATGTAGACATTGTGAAGTATAATATGCCTGAAATTATTATAGGAATATTTTTAAAATTAAATAATGAAAAAGAAGATTGCATTTAGATTGCCATTTAGTCGATTACACACGTACGTACGTTTAGGTGGTACGTTTACACGTCGTTCAATTCAATAATTGATTGATTAATTATAAATATATTTATAAAACATTGCAAAGAAGAAAAATAATTCATTTCCTTTCTATATTTCGCTATTGTTGCTTTTACTTCAATTCGTTGAATTTATCAAAAGGATAAATAGTTACAAATACAAATAAGTAATATAAATTAAATATTGAATAAATTTTAAGTAAATAGTATTTTATTTGAAATCCAACAGAAAGTGTTTTATTTAAATACAAAAATGTTGCGGCAAATTAACAATCAAATTTATTACTAATTACTTCTCTAACGCAAGATTGTAATAAGTATGTAATATAGTCGAATAATAAGTAAATAAGCAACAACAGCACTTTCACATAAATTATGAATTCGAATGAAGCAAATAATGTATGAATAAGTAAAAAGTAAGAAAAAAAATGTAATTTCAAAGTTTCAGCCCACTTTTTTTTTTTTAAACTTATGTTAACACTAAAATCTAATTTCTCCTTACATAATAAAATAAAATAAAAATATACAAATTTAAAAAGTTATAGAAGGAACATATTTTCATAAAACTTTTCTTCTTTTTCCTCTTGTTCCTTGTACATACCGGAAATTATTCACTTTTTTTTTTTGCTTTTCATTCAGTTCCTTTGAATTGCTAAAATTTTATCCTTAAGAAGAAGACAAAAAATAAACGAGGAAATACTTTAAAAATGAAATAAAAAGGAAATTTTTTTTTGTTGTTGTTAAAAAAGAATTTAAATTTCAAAAAAAAAAAAGCGATAAGGCAATTATTTTTTCTTGCCATGTGTAATTCATTCAAAATTGTGCCATAAAATAATTTAAAAATAAAAGAAAAAGAAAAAAGCACAAATTAACGTAGATCAAATGAAGTGGATTTCTTTAAGAAGTAAAATTTATGCATAATTTAAATTCTAATTGCAATTTTTAGGTTATCGCTTTTTTCATTTTCTATTTTTACTTTTTTAAAATATGTAACATTGTTTGTTTTTCTAATTTTTCATCAAAGTTTTTTTCTCAAAATTTTTTAAAAAACAGAAAGAAATTTATATACCAAACGAAGATTTCTTTTTTTATAATTTTTTATTTTTTTACTTTCTACATTTTCCTACCTTTTTTTTTTCTGACTTAACAAAAATAATTTGGTTAAGAACCTGAAAAATTGCATTTACAAAAAAAAAAAAAATTCATTAATTTTTGCTTTAATTGGATCGATATTTTATTATTATTTTAGTGTAATGAGTAATAATAATTATAACAGTAATAAGTGAATAGTATGAGACAATTTCTGACATTATTTTTGCCAATTCTGAGAAAAATTTTCAAAATGAAACGAATAAATTTATAAAACTATCTGATATCAAAGCAAAATTTGATAATTATTCTCAAAAAAGTGACATATGCCATCAATGAAAAATGCAATTGTTATTTTATATGAAATTAAAATTCATATAATATATCTCATTATTAATGAATTAAAATTAGTGCTTTCTTGTTAGATAATTTATGCAACTAATATAAATACATCAATTTCATAAAAATTTTTAAAGAAAAATTTCAACATTCGAAATATTTTCAAACTATCAATATATAAAAAATGAAATAGCTGAAAAATGACTTAAGATTTAATTGTCCTGTTTACAATCCTTTTAAGGCACCCTTTTTTTTCTCTCTCCCTCTCTCTCTCTCTCTCTCTCTCAGATTTTTGATGCATTATAATTTTGCTTCCTAATTTACGCATACATAAATTAATTTTACTGTTCATTGAACCATTAATGTTTGAGAAAACTTTTTTGCTACAATTATTACCATAAGCAAAATTTATCAACCATTAAGCATAACTTTTACATATTTTATCAAAAAGCGCAACATTGAGTTTGTTAAATGGAAAATTTTCAAATTGGTTAATGTTATAAGTTGCTATAAGCAAATATAAATTGATGAAAGAATTTGACAAAAGTAGTTAAAATATTTGAAAAATTTAAGCATATTGCAAAGTTAAATTAGTTTTATCATTTATAACTTAGAAGATTTGATTTTGTTTTTTGAATTCAAGTAAAGTAATTAATGAATTTGGATGTGATTTACAATCATAAGTGTTAAAGTCAATTTGTTCCTCTGCTTCATTTGCTAATATAAGCAAATGAACTGAATCATTTAAAACTTTTAATTTAAAAAAAAAAAAATCATAAAATTTGCAAGAAAGGTTTAACTTTCTAATGGATTAATACACACTTAACTACATCTTAACAATTATTAATATATTGATGAATTTCAAAGCTTTAAGCATTTATTATCCTATCAATGAGAAATGCTATTATTTACAATGAAAAAGGAAAGTGAATGATAGCTAAAGTTCTCATAAAGTTTTCATTTTTCTTAAGACCAAGAAGATGTATCTAACTTAGGCTCAGAAGATGTCACTAGCTTAAGCTTAGACTAAGAGTGAGAAAAAGGAAGCAAACGAATTGTTTTTAATTTCAGTCATCCCTTTTCCTCCTAATTTACTAATCAAATATATAAACGAGTGAGAAGAAATAGAAAGCTATAAACTTCCGATTCTTAATCAACAAATTATCGACCATTTTTAACGGTTTCATTTGTAAGCTTTCTCAGTTGAATGAAGCATTCAACAAAAAGAAATTGCTATTTTCCAATTTATATTTCAAAAAAAAAAAAAATTTTTGCCAATAATAAATTTGAAATTGTTCATTATAAAGGACTAAATTAATGTTTTCTAATATAAAACTGAAAATAATGCTTCACAAAAGAAAATTAAAATTAAAAAAACAAACCAATTAAATATATTAAAAGTATATAATCAATAAACTGTAATAAGACTAAAACAAATTGTCTTTTGTTACTTTGTAAATGCAACTTAAGTATATTTATGTAGTGCAAGTAAGTGATAAAAAGTAACATAAATTTTAGACTAATAAATTAAAGAACAAAAGAAAAGAAAAAAAAAAAACCACTGAAGATTTGTCGGAAAAAAATTATACTATGATAGATGTTTGAACCGATAGTCCACGTCACAAAAAAGGATTGTGTGTCACATTTTAAATGCTTTAGTAAATGCGACATTGAAATGTGAAGTGATGATAAACAATTTTTTGATGAAAAGGAATTACTCCGTGCTGAATCTGTCTAATGACCTAATGTTAAGAAAAAAGAAGAAAGAAAATAAAAAGTAACAAATATAAGGGAAAAGTGCTCTTTTCACTTCATTTCACTCATTTTTTTTTTTTTTTTTTTATTTTCTTTTGGTTAATATAAGAAAGTGATAAATGCGCATTCCACAATTTCTATCTTAGCGCTTTGAAAAAATGATATCAATAGAAAAAGAAATTAAGTTGAAAAGATTCCAATATAGTCTGTTCAATATTTTATCATTTTTATTGAAGTAAGAAGTGTTCAAATATGTAATTAAATCTAAAGCATTTCCAAAAAAAAAAGGAGAAGAGAAAAAGATAATCAAAAAGTGACCTTTGAAATTCGAATTTTTTTCAAAATTTTCAATGTCAATTTATTTTTTATTTCCAAGAAGATATTTGAGCTAAAAGAAATTGGCAATTTTATTATGTATATCAAAATGATAAACTCAAAATGCTTCACAATGAATAGCGAAATACAAAATTTTATAATCATAAATGTAAAAAAAAGAACCTTAGATATGATAAGATATTCGTATTATAATATAATATAAATCATATGAAAACTGAATAAACGCTGAGTAATTAAACAGTGAAATTCTATGCATAACAAAGTATTTGCGCTAAATTAAGTTAAAATTAAAAAAAAAAAAAATTTTTAATTTACTACAATTACATATTTAATCAGTGTTAATGATTAGTATACATTTTATTAATGAACGCTTTGTTTTAGTTTATTTATCTAAAAATTTTATAATGCCATTATATCCATAAATTTTTTACAAAAAATGAAAAAAAGAAAGATATGCTAAGGAGCTATGAATAAATTTTAACTGAGCTAAAAAAAAAAGGATTATATTTTAACAGTGACAAATTGTATGAACAATAATTTTGAATGTTTATTCTATTTCAAAATCTACTTCATTCCAAATGATAATAATAAAATCATGATGGATTATTTCGTTTCTTCATTTTTATAAAAAAAATTTTGCGTGGAAAATAAACACTGATAAATGTATGAACAATAATCTTAAAAGCTTATTCTATTTTGAAGTCTTATTTCATTGTAAACTATGATAATAAATTCATGAACTATTCCTTTCTTTTTTCGTTTCTATTTCTTTTCATTTCTTAGATTGTTTTTTCTTTTTATTTTATTTTCATAACAAATATTTTATAGAGGAAATAACAGTCCTAAAGGCCTATTCTATTTCAAAGTCCTATTTCATATCAAAGTATAATATTAAAAATCATGATGATTTATTCCTTTTCTCCATTTTTATAATAAATATTTTACATGGTTACCAGAAAAAAAAAAAAAAGAAAGAAAGAGAGACCCAATATCTATTGATGAATTAATTAATCATTGAAAAATATTCCAAAAAATTTCAAATATTTTAATTTCTATCACACTAGCACTTCCATTTATTTTTTTCTCTTTCCTGCTTTTATCCCATCATTTTTTCATAAATCATAGAAATTTCGTTTTCTTAAAAAAAAGGAGAAAAAAGCGATTGAAATTCTGAAATGCGATACCTATCAGTTAGTTTTCTCAACTTCAATTACTTATTTGATAAAAAAATTTGTCATTTAGACATAAATTATGTCAAACATTAAAAAAGAAAGAAGAATTCTTAAAGCTAAGATATTTAGCAATTAAGCATATCTTTATTGTAATTTTTCGTTTTTGTTCTTATATGGTTCAACTTATTAAAATTTGTTGAAATGTTCATTGATTTGATTTCAAACTTTTTCAATCATTATGAAATTTTGGATAATTAAAATGGTGTATGGTAAGAATTGGAAGAAAAGTTGTAATTTATATAGCTTTTAGATAATCCTCAAGGGATATTGAATGAAATATTTCAACGAAACTATTTATTGTCAAACAATTTAATTCCTTAATTTAGTATTTAAGAAAAAAGCTAATACTAATAGCTAAAATTATACTAAGCTAATCAGAATTTAAAAAAAAAAATTAGTTTTTAAACCTTTAACAATTTACAATTTTTGCTAAAAATTTATATTTTTTAAAAATAAAATAAAATAAAATGATTAATAATTATTTGAAGAAAATCATATAAACTTTGAAAAAGGCAGAACAAAACAGCCGACAAACAGATATTCGAAGTCATTCAAAGCTATGCATAAGTTTCAAGTGATGGACATAAAGGTGACAGGAAAACAACACATGTCCAATTCAAAATTTATTAACTGTCTCTTTGATGAATAAGATGGAATTGTCAACAACTATTTCATTCAATTGTTAATAATAATCCACCTGCTATCATCTTACTCAAATGGCTACTTTTATATATCAACAAAATAATATAGTTGAGAGAGACAGGAAGGAAGGGAATCAATAAGAGCTATAAATTTAGAGCGCAAAAAAAACTATTATAATCAACGAAAGCAATATTCAGTACATTAAAAACAAACTATTCAATTTTAATGAATTTAAAATTTGAAATTATTTTGTCCTATATGTTTTTACCTTCTTTTCTTTTGGTTAATATTAAAAATTCAATGGTTTGCATAAAATGCCTTTCAATATGTCAAACAAATATATTAAAGTGTAATTTTAATATTAAAAAATTAATAATTTCACACGAATTTATTCATTTTTAATATAAATTATAAAAACTTCTTCATATATATATCATAGATATCCACGAATTAAAAAAAGTGATATTATCATTGATAGATATCCACGAATTAAAAAAAGTGATTATCATTGATTTTAGTTAATGATTGAGAAATTTGAAAGTTAATAGATTGAAAATGATTTTTACAAATACATTTTCACCTCCTTTGTATTTTTTTTTTTTTTTTTTTGACAATAGTACAATCATAATTAGCAAGCAAATATCGTATTTTGCATAATTTATTTCTAATGACGTAACATTTATTAAAAGTATTACTTATTATGCAATTAAAAAAAAATTTCGATCCACGAAGAAAATGTAATGATAATAAGATTTAACGTGAAAATATCACTGTTATTTCTAACTTTTTGCTAATAATAAAAACTTGAGAATAGCATGCAAAGTTATTTTAGCAACAATTAGCCTAAAGCAGTTATGAATTCATAATTTAACTTTCTAAAAGAGTCTAACAATATATGAGTCCTCTAATTAACGAAAGATTATATCTTATCGAATTAGAATAATTTTTAATTCAAATTGGAAATGGAATTAACGAGCCATAAAAAATGATATGAATGTTTTAACTTTTTACTTCATTTATCGTATTTGTTGAGCATTTTCTATTGATTATTATCATTTCAAAATAAATTTTGTTTACTTTGTATTTAATTTTAGCTGTTTTTTTCAAAAAATTTATTTGCATACAATTCATTATATTTGTTGTTTTGTTCGTTGTATAAATTTTCAAATTATTTCTTTATTGCACCAAGTTTTTTTTCTCTCTTAAAAAATGAAAGGAAAAAAGAGACTAAAAAATTGAATCAAAATTAGGGTTTTCACAAAAATTTCAAATTTCAAAAAAAAAAAAAAATTTAATCAGAAGAAGAGAAAAAGGAAAACTCTCTGTAATGCATAAAATGAAAACATCTAGAAAGTTAGAGTGAAATTTTATCAATATCAAGTTTGGTAGAAATATTCAATGAAAAAACAAATTCTATCGTAATTCACGTGAAAAACGTTTCCTTGACAATTTTTTAATTCATTAAATTACAAAAAAAAAAAGAAAGAAATTGTTCTAAATTTAAAATCTGTCCATAAGTTTTATCATAAATTTATAATTTCATTTTTTTAAGACCAAAAATTTTTTCTGTTTACATTCATAAAATGGCAGAAATATGATTACTACAAACAGACAGACACACACGCACACGGACGCACGCACACGTCATAATTTACATTGAAAAGATCTTTATCAAATAGCAAGAAAAGAAAAAAATCAAAAATTAAAAATTGAGCGTAACATGACGAAATGGACCAAAATTAGCTATCAAACAAAAATCTGACCTTTGAACTGCATCGCTAAAAGTAATCATTTAAACTATAAATCACCTTAGAAATACTATTCCTGGGTATTCATTAAGGTAGAATATTAACAAAGCAATAGCATTTTTGACACATTAACGGGATGTGATAATTTTCCAATTATATCGCTATTTTTGGTAGAGTACTGTAATTTTTGAACTTACGACTAACAATTATTAAAACTAATTGAAGTCAAAGATAAGCTAAATCTTCTAGAATTCAACACTTCAATATTCTATAATCCTATCTGTATATAATATTTTATAATTTAACATTTTCAAAACAATTTTATAATAAGACAAAGATCACTAAACTCTAACAACTTTTCATTTACTTATTCACCCTTCAAACTGGACATCATCAATTGCGAACTACAAGATTGATCCACTGATGACCTTTGCTTTTGCTTTTTGTCTTTCATTCGTCGATTCTAAAAATTCAAAAATAATTGAAATGCACATTAAAAACTCATAAAAAATAATAATAAAATTAGATCAAAGATTTTAAAAAACTAATCAGTGCTCTTATCCAAAACTAATCACTATTTTCATTATGAAGCTTTTTTTTAAAAATAAGTCTAAGATGTGATATGATTTTGAATATTCTCTTATTTAACAGTATCATAATATACATTCCTTTATCGATCAATAAATCATTTTGACAGCCCAAAAATATTTGTAAAAATTTAGGTGATAAAAAAATGGAAAATTGAAAAGTTTTTACCTGAAACCAAATTTTGACTTGCCTCTCGGATAGGTACAAATTTTTGGCTAATTCGTATCGTTTTTGTTTGCTAACATAAGTATTGTAAAGAAATTCTTTCTCGAGTTCCAAAGTTTGATATTTGGTGTACGGCTTCCTTTTTTTCCTCGACGATATATTTCCTGTCCAATCTAATGTTGCATCTATAAAATACTAGAATTTCTTATCAAATTCGTAAAATTATTTTATAACATACGAAATGATCTGTTCATCAATAATTTCTTTACCATATGAACCTAAATTGAATATTTTAAAATTTCCAGAAAAAAAAATATTTTAAAATTTCCAGAAAAAAAAAGAACTAAAATTGATATTTCATATTAGACGCTAAAGGATATTTTATTTCAAAAAATTATCATAATTAAATATCCAAACTTTCAACATTTAAAGAACAAATGTAATAGTGGAAATGGAAAAATTTTTATTTTGAAAATCTTATTTTACTTCAATTAAACCAAAACAATTTCAAAATTTCATAGTGATTACACTGTGAAATTTTGATGGCAAAAAGTTATGATACAGTGAGATTGTACCAATCGTATCCATTTTATCAATAATTGCTAGATTTACAGCATAGGTCAATCTCAAGAACCCACTCATTAACCAAATCCTAATTGCTCCAATTTTATCGTTCGCTGTTTAACCTTTTGCTGGAACTTGAATACATTCATTGCAATGCCAAATGTATTGCAAACAATTATTATTTTTACTATTTATTAAATGTATTAATAAGTGGAATTGTAGAAGAAAGAGAAAGAGAAAAAAAGGTAACATCGATGATGAGTTTAAAAATTTAAATAAAATAATCTGTTTAATTTTAAAAGCTTTCATTGTTTCTTATGTTGCAGATAAGATAGCTTTTTCAAACATTCATTTATTCATTCAAAAGAAAAAAAAAATTAGTCCCATGTGATTTTAATTAAACATTTTTTCTTTTTTCTTTTTTTTTTTTTGGTTTGGAAGACTTTCATTTTTTTTTAAATGACTTTTTTTTTTTTCACTTTAATTTTTTTTTACTATTTTCAAGATAATTTATTTTCATCTTTCATCATCTTTCCTACTTTAACCAATTCAAATCTCATTAATTTGCTAGCAATATTATTTAGCAAAAGCAATTTGTATAAGTGATACTGGGATAGCTAATTTGTCAACAATTTTGTAAGCGATCATAAAAAGCTAAGCAACAGATGGATGCTACAATTTGAGCCTAAATGTAAGAGTTGTTGAAGAAGTAAATTGGAATGAAATAAATGGATAGCGTTTATATTGTTGCAACATTGAATATACCACAAACTACCGTATCCCTCACATCTCAATTCATCTTTTTTTTTTTTAACTCTCTCACTAAACTATCTCAAATTGATAGTAATAATTCAATCTAAAGTATTAATTTTCCTAGATAATAGAATTCTTTAAGTATATAAAAATTTTGCTTATTATTTTTTGATACGTTTTTATTATCCAACTTTGATCGTCTTTTTTCGTTATTTTTTAATCTAATTAAAGAATCTTTTCATCACTAGCACTTCTATTGATACAAAAGCTACAGCAATATTCTATTATTGTTTCGATTTTATCGATTTTAGGCGAATTAAATTTTCATATAGAATAATTTCAGTAAAAAAAAAAAAAAAAGAAACAAGCGGAAAATCTTTGTAAACAAACATGTAAAGATCGAATATGGTAAAATAATAATTATTCAAAAAAGTTTCTTCAATTTTCCTAATACTTCCATTGCTTTATTATTTCGTTTTATTTATTTAGCTGTTTGAGCTTTAGTATTTTATAACGATCTAGTTAGAATTATCGTTCATTCGTTATTTAATTAAATAAGTTTCTTTTCAAACTAGAAATGAATGAATTTTGCCAGTTAAATAAATCAACTTTCATTATTTTTTGCAGAAAAAACTAAATAAATTTAATTCCTCAACCGAAAGATAATTCAACTTCTTTAACAAAAGAATTTATTAGTTATAATTTAAATGAAATAGTTAAATTATAAAAGTCCCAGTTTGTGCAGAATCTCATTGATCCATAATGTTTCTTTTAGTTGTATTTGTTATGCTAATCTTAGTTTTATGTTAATTCTACTTCACGTATATATCTTGCTAGCTGAAAAATTGAAAATAACTTATTTAGTTGTTTGCTAAGCAAATAAAAATTGCTATGCAAATAATTTCCTTAAGTAAACAATAATTTGAATGGTACTACGAAAGACTACAGTATTCCAATCTTTAAAGCATAGAGAGGAGCAAACATATTTGTTCGAAAGAGGAAAATATGAAGCTCAGGGAGGCTTTGAAAATGAAAGAAAGAAGGAAATATGCTGATGGTATGTGCTACAGTAATTTTGGTTGATCGTTGCAGAAATCTGATTATTTGCGAAATAGATGAAAAATGTGATATGTCTTTTTGTATGGTATGATCCGATATAGAATCCCGAACAGTTGAGCTAGAAGATAGCAAAGGAAATGATATTTATCAAATGAGGACATCTGCAAACTGATTGGTAATAAAAAGGGACAAAGTGAACGGTGAGAGAAAATGTTTCTTGATGAATCGATCGAAATGTAATCGGAAATTTTCAAAATTTCAATGAAAAAAAATAATTTAAGTGAAAAATTCTTCTAATTATAATATCAAAAATTTATTTGATTTTTACTTATTTCTTTGAGATAAGCAAAATATTATAAAAAAAATCAAAAAAAAAAAAAAAAAAAAATTAATTACAGTTAGTATATATTCTCCAGAAGAATACATTAGGTTTATTGATTGTTTTTTCTTTTTTGAATCTAAATCAATTGATAGTTAATAAAACTCCAATAAAAAAAATTTTTTGAAATTTATAGGTGAAATTTGAAATTTAGAAAGGAGGTAATCGAAATTGAAAAAAAAAATCAATTGATATGTATTTATTACAGTTGAAGTTGAATGATGACGATATTTACTACAGATGTGTAATAAACTTGTTCCAATAATCAGAGCATGGTGTCGGTGTTACGCAAAGAAGCTTTATCAGACAGAAGTATCTTTGACAAATGATAGATTAGACTTTTATTCTTTCACCTGTGCGAACAAAAAAAAAAAAAAGCAACAATCCATATCCTTTTACCTTTTACTCCTATTAACTACTGTACACAAAATGACAAGCGGCACACTTTCCGTAACATCGAAATGATCTATGGATGGAAAGTTATAATTAGAATTATCTCTTTAAAGTGAATATCTCTTACTTTTAAAGATTGATATCTGAAGTAAGTTTGTATGGAGTAGATTAGTGATGGATAATTGAACTGTATTGATAATACTTCTCTTGATATATTACCGCCTGTTACAACAATTTATGTAAGCAAGCAATTCATATCTTTATTTGCTTATTCATCATCTAATACTTTGAAGAATATTTGATATATGTAAGATGAAAGAAGTAAACAACAGAACAACAAAATATCAAACTGAAACTATTATCTTGCAAAATTTTCAATGGAAAAAAAAATTATCTTTAGAAATCAAAAAGTAAACACATTAGTGAGAAAATTTTGATAAATTAAAAAAATTTATTTAAAGTCAAAATATCACTCTATCTTATCATCCTACCATTTACAAATATCACATCTGATATTTCGAATAATAAAATATCAGTGATACCATTTCTCTATTTCTGGAAAAACAATCTTTGTAATCAATTTCAAATTCGTCAAATTTCTCCCTCAAATGTGATAACTATATCCAAATTTATGAACCTGTAAGATACCTTTTCTCAGGACACGATTAGATATCATCAAAAGCCTATGCCGCAATATCGTTTCTGTTTCTGGAGATGGAAAAAAAAGGCCAATTTTTACGGCCATAAAAAATGTTTTGTTGTCTGATTCGAGGCTAAATAATGACGGCGGCATTTTTATGTTTATTTTACCAGGTCTAGAAAAGAAAGATTACAAGTCATTCTTAGAAATATGCATCTAAAGACAATTTGGGAAAGATCCAATCTACCATAGGCATATAAAATTTGATAGAAAAAGAAATTAAAAAATAATTGTCAAAAATTTAAGTGAAATATTTAAATTCTGAAAAAAAGGATATGCTGGAAGAATTCAAGATAAAATACAATTGAAGTTAAAATTGCAAACTTGCCCAACCGTCCTCAAATGTTTGGTTCAATTCAAACGTTTTTGTCAATTGTTAAAAGAAATGTGAGAGGAGAAATTGAAATTATGTTATTTAAAAATTAGCGAATCTATAAAATTCTTAATTTGATCAATTTATAGCGAAAATAATGAAAATTGATAAGAAGTGGGATTTGTTTGAGCAGTGTAAAGGATGGCAAACTAATTTAAAGTATGGAAATATTGTAAGAAAAAGAGAAACACTTAAAAGTTATAAGTTTCAAGACTTTTTCTCATTTTCTTGGCGCATGTTACTGTATATTTCCGAATTCATTATGATCTAGTTCTCGGGACATAATTTGGATAACACTGTAGCAAATACATTTGGAGCAGATGATAATAGCAGTATTAACAGAAATGAATACAATGGAAATATGAAATCGTTTATCTGAAGAAACCATAAAATAAGATTAAGGTCCGGTATAGAGATATTTTTTATGGATCTATCTCACACCTTACATTTTAGCAACACCTGCACATGACCTATGTCAATATTTAAAACTGGGACCAATATCTTGACCCTAAAGTTTCGGAACCATTTTACCATTTTTCTTTTTTTTCTAATTTCGAGCGAACTGATAGTTTAGCTTTTATGATGAAACTTTTATTAAACAGTTTAAGAGAAATCTTTTCTTTGAAATACTTTAACATTGATCGGATCGAAAATTGTTCATATTCTAATGTATTTCAAGTTATCACTCATTTATCACTAAGATTTATCAATTCCATAATGCATGCAACTCATTTTAGAGAATTGTTTGTGAGTTCATTTGGGAAAGTTAAAGAACCTTTAATCATAGACAGATTCCATTAATTTTTCCCTTTCCACTTAACCTTCCCATGATTCAGTGCGATATGTGTACATGTACATATCATTAGAGATAGAACGAAAGAAGTAGAAGTTGGAGTTTAAATTTGCACAGAAGGTAATTAGGATAATAAAAGTCTCAATGACCATGTTCTGAGAGTTACATCAAAGCAGTACCGCTCATATTACCCGCATCTATTTGCAGTGGACATCTGGATAACTTAGAGCTCCTGTATTTTCTTCACATCGCATTCATTCTTTTATATTTAGCAGTCTTTTGAATACGATTAATAAAATTAAAGAAAAAAAAAACGAAAAAAATCGTGAACTTGTTAAATTCAATTTGAGAAAATATGAAATTTAAATATGCCGAATTGTTTTATATTACAGCACTACAAAAATAAACTCTGCTTCCACTCTCTTTTCAACGGTCAAATTTTCAATCATTAACAATTTTGATGTAGGATCAAACTGAATAATAAAGGAAGTGTTTAAAAATGATACGACATTTTTTGAGATCAACATTTGTCAATTCAATTGTCAAATTTGTCAGTATTACCAAAAATTTGAAGAGTAACTTTTAAAACTGTGACTAATTCTCTAAACTTTATTAGCATCCTAATTTCAGAAATAATGGGGATTTTTTTCATACTAGTCACTAGTAACTCATTTGTTTTTTATATTTTCGAGTTATTATTTTGCACTCCACTGAGTGTTACTGAGGAATGCTTTTAGTTTTTTGCGCTTACTTATATGATTTATATAGGAAGTATGCAATAACAATACCTGGCAATATGACCGTAAAAACATATATTGCCATTTCCATTCAATGGAATGACAACCTAAATATTAGCGTGAGTTGCGATAAGGAGAGGCAGTCTACGGATAACTGCGCCATAATAATATCAACAGTAGTGCAGGCGCTTGTTGAAAAATATTAGTAGTGTTAATATTATGGTTGGAAAGTGAGATCATTATTGATTTCAAACGTAAGAAATAATTTTTATTTATTAGTTTGTTCGCAATTTATCAAATTTCAGTCCTTGGTTTTCATTACATCTTGTCATTCATTGCATGGGGCAGCAATCTATCTTTCGCAATTGTGCAACTATACAATTTTGCTAAACTTATAACCTGTACTAACAAGAACGGTAACTACCCTTGCACGACAATCAATTGCTCGACCGGTCGGCGACACCCTTTAACTACCCGATTTTCATCTTCTTCTTCCTCCTTCTTTCTTCATCTCATCTAACATTTCCATCAATGAATCTTCATATCAATTTCATTGGATAAGTCTTCTGAACTCCCTTTTGTTTCTCTATTTCTGTTGCATTTTTCGAATTTTCATCAAAATTGCTTGAATTTCTATGAATTCATTTTCTCTAATACAGTTTCTTTATTATTCGTTCTATTTAACTCACATTTTTTCCCTATACTTTACTCCTTTCTTTTCATTTCTCCTCCTCTTCATTTCTCTCTTTCTCTTATCCCTTCCTTCCAAGTATTGTTCCTGATTATGAAAATATTGATGTTATATGATGAGTACTGATGAATAGTAGTAAAGTGGCATAGTATATCCTTATATTATCTTCTTGAACAATTTCCCTGCACATATACGAGAGCAGATGAATCGATCTCACTGTGAAAAAGTCGTAAACAAGAATGACCAAAATTAAACAATAAAAAATTATATATGAATAAAGAGAAAATGACAAATGTAATACTAATTTAATATTCTGGTCTACGTGGAATTCAGACATCGATGAGGAATGTTTTTTATTGTGGTTTCGTTACGAACGAATTAGATTAAGGTGAAAACTAAAAGTAGTGTAATAAAAATTCATTTGAAGTTACTATCTATTAATGAATTAGTTTGTAAATATTTTCGAAAAAAGCGAAATTTAATATGTTGTAACTTCATTTCATAGCGTTAAGAATTATCGCAAATTTTCTAATTTCGAATGAAAAAAAAATTTGTGGCGAATGAAAACAAAATTTTAAAAATTAACACTCAATGTTATAATTTAATCGAAATGATACTGACATATACACCATTATAAGTTGAAGTTATGAAGTTAAAAGTCTTTTTCTAACAAGTTAAATAGCAATAGATTCAATCAAATACTGTAAGTAACTACGGTATTTACAATTGAATCCGTTATTATTTGACTACCACAATACAGTCACCTAATTTTAATAGTTTTTAATAGTGATATTCTAATATTTTAATTAGAACTGAATCTAATTATAATGTGTAAATAATGTAATCGACAACAAAAAGAGCAAACCTGTTAAACCAGTCATATCGGCTACCATACTTCCTGGATACGGATGCGCACCAAAGGGATACTGTTGTGGATAACCGTAAGCCCATGTATGTCCAGTGGCTACAGCTGCTGCATGAGCGGCATGAAAATTAGACCCGTAAAAATCTGCTTGGCACATCGGATTCATCATATCGAAACCTGAAAGAAGAAGGAAAACCTTTTCCGGTATCGGAATAGGTGGATTTATTGTTGCACATAATCCATTGTGAAATTATGTTTATAGTTTATGGTATTAAGTGAATATATTTGCAATGTTTTTTTTTTTTTTTTTTTGTTAATTCAGCAAGTTTTATCGTGTTTTTCTTGTTTGAGAAATGCAAGCGAAGATATTGTACGTAGTACTGTAATTAATTATAGCACTGTAATTAATTACGGAACTATATAGCATTTACTGTTATAATTTCGAAACAGTAATATTAATCCGTAATTTCAATATTAGTGAATCACCGGAATACATATAAAAAATAATTTGCAATGAATTGATTCAGCGAATTTTATCACAATTTTTTCATTTGCAACAATGTTATTAATTAATTAAATGCCGAAATATATATAATATAAATAAGCGATACTAATGTCATTTTTTTATTGCAGTAAGTTAACCTAACAAGTTTTGTCGTACTTTTCCTGTTTGCAAAATGAAATTAATGAAAAGTATTGCAAACTTGCCGGTTGCGGTAGATGGTGAAAGAAAAGCAGCTTTGGCGACAGCATTTGGTGATGGTATCCCTGAGGATCCTAACGATGGCACACATGATGATACTGAAATAGATCTTATAAAATAAATTTCAATTTTTTTTTAAAAAAATTAAAACATATCTTTCAAAATATAAAAATTTTTGAATTTTTTATTACCGGAAGCAGAAGAGACAGATGCAACGTTAGCTGCAACAGCAGCAGCTTGCTGAACAACAGCTTGTTGCGCAGAAAGATGTGCAGCTTGAGCGGCAGCGGCAGCCTGATGTGATGACGCCCAGTCATAGCCATACGGATAATGTTGCGAGTGTCCGGCATGGACATGATGATGCGCACCAGGTAAGTTACTCATCACATTCATCACCTGTGATGATGAGGCCGTCGATGAACTAAATTATAATGAATAAATATAAGAATACAAGATGGAAAAATGACTCAGTAATATTTTCTGATTCCAAATATTTAAAAATTTTTATCAATTATTTTAAATATTAATGCGACACCTTGTAGCAAGTGCAGGCGGAGTATTGGTCCTATCATTCTCGTTTGTAGCACTTGATACTGAAATATTTGAGGATGATTCAGCTGTTGCAGCAGCAGCAGCAGCAGCAGCTGTGGTTGCAACCGGAGTTACAGAAGCTGGCGTTGCAACATTAGTAGCAGCAAATTTTTGATAAAACGGTTTGTCCATGAAACTTCCGGAGAAGCCGAACGATGCCGGATTGTTGATACCGTTCATCACAGAAATCATATCATTGGATAATATAAAAAGTTACACTGCATACAAGGAAGTCTTTTTCCTAGAATTTAAAATGAAATGAAAAATTAAATAGAGTGGAAAGAATCGAGTTAACACAAAAGTTAAGCACAACGAAATTGATTGATTCTATGCTGATTAGTAGATCAAATTTTAAACACTTTATCTCAATCTCAAAATGATCAAAATTTTCTATTTCCAGGAAATCAATCCTCCTTTATCTAATCAAAAGATCAACAAAATTGTTCTTCCAAAACTCTTTTTTTTTCATTTTGCTACTATTAAAATTATAAAAGCTTATCGTATCTTACATTTAGCTCTCAAATTATTTCAAAGTTGACTGAAATTAGTTCATTGCTTAGATTTTTCCTAGCTACTTTTTTATAAGAAATTTTTTCTGCAATATTCTCTAAAAAATTTTGGAAAGGAATGCAAATATTCTTAATGTAATTCCTCACCGTACCACAATATTACGTTTATTTTCTTTTCCTTCTCATTGAGTTTCTATTGCGTTTGAAAAAGTCAATGACAAATTATGATGACAATGTTGTTGCTCAATCAGCAAATAATATTCGAGAAAAAATCAATGCAACAACAGTATAGTTTAGTTTACAGGAAATCATTTCCTGATGGATCAATCAGATAAACTATCACAACTCTTTACCTTTTACTTTTCTTTCCATTTAAAAATTTTTTAAAAATAAATTGTACTGTGTAGAAAAAAACATTATATTAAATATGTCTTTCAAAAAAGAAATCATTATCCGGGCAAATTCTTCGGTATTATTATAACGGCGAAACTGAAGAAATATCTAATAAACTTTTGTAAACGATTTCGCAGACTGAAAAAGTAAAACATTTTCAAAAATGTTTACCATAGGCTCCGTGCATATTTTCCGGATTGCTAATCGAACTCCTTTTGCTATTATTAAATGTAGTGATTCAACTTTTAACTTTTTTCCCCAGAAGTATTTTCCATTACTGTACTTCATTATCATTCTTACAACGTTGTAATTAATTGGGAATAAAAAAAAAAAAAATTAAAATGGAATTAACTTGTTAAATATTTAAAAATACTAAAATTACTGATATGAATGAGAAGTGTTACTTCAATATTTGAGAAAACCAAATTGTGCGTACGTTTGCCAAACGCTTCTCAAACTTTTAATCAACACCGATTTATGTGTGTACAACAGCATATATGTAGACAGACAGACACACACATATATCATGCACACATACAAACACACACACACACATACACTTGCGTATGTACGTACATCAATTTGCATTCATACACACATCGTTTAAATAAATCCGGTTTTCAGCATCAGAACAAATAACGGTAGTTTTTTTTTTTTTCTTTTTTGTAAAAGATTGAAATATTTGTTTAAAAAATTGATTAACTATCTTCAAATGATTGAAAAAAATTTTTTTTTAGTCTAACTATCGTTTTATGAGCCGTTACTAAATGGGATTCTTATTTGTGACATCTGAATCGAATGACTGATATGACAATACCGTTGCAATGTATTATCGTAATCGATGTCAAATTTTGCGCATTACAATATAATGCATGTTAGACATCTATCACGTTATCTCATAATGAAGATAGGTAATTGATCGATTGGTTGAATTAGATGATTTTGTTCTATTGGATAAGCTGGGATAAAAATATAATTTGACACAAGTAGAAATGCTATGCTGACTAAATGTAATAGATTTTTGTGCTTTGTTTAGTTCACTGCAGAAAAAAATCGTGAAGTGTCCAAGTCTATCATAAAACTGTTTACATATTAAAATTATTTACAATATTCTGATGCATCAATTATATAATTAATGAACATGTTAAATTATCATATAAAATTTATTCTCAAAAATATTAAAAATATGCAAAATTATGTGATATTTTTACTATTATATTGACAATTTCATAAAGTTAATCCCATCAAAACTTCATGATTTGTGCAATATAGCACTTCTTCCTTTGGTGTCAAGCATTCATGAAGTGTAATTATCCAGAATTTTCGAAATTTATCAAGCAAACATTATTATTTCAAAAAAATTGCTCCTTAAATTACTAATTTTTAAACCTTACTCGTGTAGCTTTTATCACTTGTTATTTGCGCGAAATTGCAGTGGGAAATAAAAATTAATAGAGTCATAAATTGATTGATAATCTATTTTAAAATAAATCAAAACCATACATAATCTTCTTAATGTGAAATTTTCCATTGTTATTATTCAAAGATAAATAAAATTATGATAGTGATATGCTATTTTACGACAAGTATAAATCATGAAAATTATAGAAAAAACGGAAAGTATTCAGGGAAAAAGGAGAGAGTGATAAAGAAGAATAGGGACATAAACATTGTAATAGCCAATATTTTGATTGGAACATAAAGCCAACGATGCTGTTAAGGGCATATAAAATGCTTATACGATAAATCTATCTGAACTAGTTGATACAATTGTTACAGTTACTGCCGTTGCAGCTGGCTTCTATCATAATCTTTGCTGGAAGAAAACTGCTATTTTTCATGCTAACTTCTTCCTCAATTATTGCTTCCTAAATTCTCTTCAAAATTTCAAACTACTAATTGGTAGGTTTTATTTTATTAATTAACATTTACAGCAATTATTTCGTTTTATGAAATCAGTTTTATGTACTACAGCATCATAATTTTCAAGACACTTTGAATGATGTTATTTTACTGAATCTTTTAATAATGAGAAAATAATGATTACTACTCTGATCATAGCCATTTATCAATTTCTGGAACATATATATTTAGCTTGTTGTCAGTTCAATGACTGATAGTATCGGCAGTATGGCCCAGTTAAAGAACTAAGTGATAGTTAAAAATATATTTTAATAAAAATTAAGAATTATTGATCATAGAATAGTCGTAGTGAAAGTAAATGATGACATCATGGCTTATTTCACGATGATCTCAACATATCTCACTAGTTGATAGCATAAAGATCATATATTTTTAGTTGAATCAAATTTCTTTACTTTTTCTCGAATTTTCGTGAGAAGGGACAAAAAAATTAAATTTAAAATTGTGCAGTTTTTGAAATGAAAAGAAAAAGAATCTTTCGCAAATTTCTCATATATCAAGTATTTTAAATCATTATCTTCTAAATTATTAAACACATTTCTAATGATAATAAATTTAACAATATTTAGACAAATTAGCAAATGATGAACGCACATTAATCATTCAAAATGCTCCAACACAAATGCTTCCATAATAACAACAATAAATCTTAGCGCTTAATCTATCAATTAACAAACGATATTTCAAGGTTTAATTTACTTTTTTCCTTTATTGTTGTTGCTGCTAAAGGATAAGAATGAAAAGCTTTAGAATTCACTTCTAAATTATCACTTCGAAGTACAATCTTATCTTTTTATCACATCCTTTCTCAAATATAGGCCATTAAAGCATTCACATATCAATCATTTTGACATAGTGAATTATTTACGCACCTCTCTATTGGATGTCTAATTATGACATCTTTATGAATGACACACACACACACACACACACACATACACATAAGCGCACATATATATATACAGGTATACATATGCATGCATGCACATGCATATACAAATACAGGCACTTTGCACATGTCTGTATGCATGTGCATGCTAATAAAAAGTTTAGCATGAACATTAGAGAGATGGGTGGTTTGGGTGAATATGTCGACAAACAGCAAAGAAATGACAATGGCGATGTGTGAGGCCTGAAATAGGCGTGGCTTCTTATGATAACTACAATTGGCTTACCGTTTCCTTCCACCAATCAGACAACGGCAACACAAAATAATTATGGGAAAGTTTTGAGTGATAATTATTGTACTAATCATGATATTATGTAAATAATAATAATAATAATGCTAATAATAGTAATGTCAAATGATAAGTTTTTAAAAAATTGTGATAAGAGATTTTGATACAATACAATAAGTGATATTATATTATTATAATGTTTATTTGCATCTCATATAAACGAAACATTTGGAGATGAATAAATTTGCAGAAAAAAAAGTAAATGTAATGTTCTGGATTTTTTTTTTTTTTTGAATGTAATGCTGTGGTATTCTGGGATGAGTTGAGGAAAAAAAGAAAATAAAAATTATTATGAACTAGTGTGAAGGGTTTTTTTTTTTTTTAAGTCGGTCCAAATATGCTAATAACATTTGTTGTGTAGTGCTAAATGTACAACATATTAACTCCTTCTTCAATTTCTGAAAAATTCATTAATCCTATTTAATTCAAAAATTTTTGAGAGCTTTCAACTGAACAAGAACTTTCTTTACAGCCTTTTTTCAAACACAAAGCATGAAAGTTTTTGTGGACGGGCCCAATTTACGATAATATTAATTTCATTTTTTTTTTTTCTCTTCTTTTTTTTTGTAAATTAGTTAACAAAGATTTTGGAAAAAATGCAATGTTAAATTTAATTATGAATAATATAACTTTTTTTGAATGTAATGTTCTGGGATGAGTTGAAATTTTGCGAAGGGATTTGAAATAAATGCATCTAAACTTTTAATCAGCTACTGAACAGACTGGATGATCTTGCTCGTTCTGATTACTAAAATCATATTCTGATCTATCTTTCCTTTAATCCTTAAACTTAGTAAAAGTATGAATTTGATCATCCTGATGGAAATAAATTAAAATCACAATCAGAGATTTCTATTTTTTTTTTTTTTTTTGTTTCATTTACAAATATAGCTATCATCGCTAGAAAGCTTTTGATGGCATTGATAAAGTATTAATCAAAAAAAGCAGCTGAAAAGTGCAATCGTTTTTGTTTTCCAAAGTGATGTAAAGAAAACATTGCATAAAACAATTTTTAGAAAAAAAAAAATTCAATCAAAATTTTCAAAATCAATATGTGCTCTAAAATTTTTATATTTCAAAAATTCCTTTAAGAAATTAGAATTTTGAAAAATTTCATAAAGTTGTTTAA